TATTTACAGAATGTAACTACGTTTAATATCTTTTAAAATCCTGGATATTTTGAGCTAGAATTGCTAAAATTAAATTTGTGTTTCATATATCTTTAAGAAATAACATGAAACACGTAGATATTTTTGGAAATAATAAAGTATGTATTGCGAAAAAGTTATCTTCGTAGTTTGATCGCGGGCCAAGCCGCGAGTTCTGCTAGTATTCTATAAAATGGACATATTTTATTGGATGGAAAACGCGATTCTTATTTGAATGTCAAAGGACGCTGGAAAAGTCGAATGTGGGCGGAATAATGCGACAGTAAGATGTATTATAGTTAAAATAATAGTACCATATTGTATTTTTATGGTTCTATCTATGAACATCTAGCTCGATATAAGTATTCCTTTAAACGTTTTCATAAAAGTTTCAAATGTAGGCAAACGTGTGCCAAATATTTCAATCATTGAAACGTTTTTAAAGAGTCTTTTCAGCCCACGCTCTTCTTGGATGGAAGTTTTAAATAAAGGGCCTTCTATGATAGTCTTATTTTAATTTTCAATTTACAGACAGCACGACGTGGTTTTAATCAGAGGTTTTTTTTAATGAGAAAGAGTCAAGTATTTGCAACAGATCATAAAGATATATAAGCTATAGTCTACTTTAAAACATCAAAGTCTAAAAATATTATAATTACCAACAGCTTTACTCAGAACATATTTTTCTTAACTTAAAATCTTAATATCTTCTTTCAAATCATCAAAAGAATCAAGAGTGTTCATGCAAAGTGTTTTCTTGGATAGAAGGCACCAATTGAATTTAGTTTGCATAGGATAAATATTGTTCAAATACTTCATGAAAAGTGAATATGAGTTATATTTATTTAGGCAGATAATATTTAAAAAACTTGATAGCTATAAAATTTCGTAAGCAGTAATTAAAAAATAATATTCTTTACAGTTGTGGGTTGTGAAAAATGTCGTAGTTTCAATGTTTGGTAGGTATAAGGTTATCCATGCCACAGTCTATTCATTCATACGGTCATAAACGAAGCCATCTAAACTGGGTATCGTGAATCGTGCGGGGCGTACGAAGGAACCTTGCAGAGAGGCACGGGTGGCACCCGACTATAATACCACTTGGAAAACGGTTTAGGGATTACGCGTATATCTCTATCTTATTACCACGAGATGGCGCTACAGTCTCTTACCATTGGAAACAGTTCGCCATAAATATCATGGATGACTTAAAAAGATAAATACATACTTAGTATTTTTTGACATTCCTTGAATTTGAAATCATTTCCTTTAAAATAATACGCTACCCACTACTTTGATCTTTGTACTGTAGCCATACCGCCCAAATCGTCTGTACCTTTTTGCTTGCTGCTTCTAAGCAGTTTTTGCCATGAATCAGAGGTTGCTATGAATAATGCAAAACTTTATAGAGTATTTAAAAAATAAATAAATTTGGAAATTCATGATTTTTTTACACTTTTCACTAAATGTTAAATCATTTCAAAAATTTATTCTACCTTAGTTTAGATAACAAACAATTTGCTTGTGATACTTAAATATTATAATTTAAATGGTAATAATTAATGAATACTTCTAAGTCCTAATATACCTATGTTAGGTATTATTTACGTTAAAATAAAACAAATAAATACAAATTACAGCAAAAAATAATAAATTAAAAAAACATTGGAACATAGATTGCCACAAGCTTTTGATACTTGGTCTATATATAATCTGTGCTTAGCTCTAGACTTTCAGTTTTTCTCAAAGTATTATATTTACTTAATATTTTACGGTTTTATATTTTTAATATATTATTTAATTGTGGTTTTCATATATAAATGAAATAATACGATTTTTAAAACTCACTTAATATTTTTTTGTTAAAGCCGAAAAGCGTATATTAACTAACTTCGTAAACACATTTGCGCATTTGCATCAACAAAACAAATTCCAAAATGCATCCAATCAGTATTCAGTAATCAAAATGGCTTGTGTTTAACTAATGGAAGCCAATGATTGAGATAGAGTGAAAAAAGCGTATTATTAAAGAATTGGCTCAATTTCAATATCATTTTAACGTGTTTTTAATAGTAACAGTATAAATAAACGCCAATCGCGTGTGTTGACTTCATTTTTATTCCCTAACGCCAAAAGCAGGTGAGGTGACATGCTTGTCAATAATCAAAAGAAATGATGAATGAATTAGTGCCGGGATTTTGATATTCCTCGACAATGAACGGATGAGTTATTTTCGTGGTAAATATAAATATTCGATGAAAATTATATTTTCATGATTATGCCGCATTGTTCATCTATCGGTTGCCAGTTCGGATAGTACCAAAATGTCCATCTTCTTTTTTATGAGAAAACGCTTATTATATTCTGGAAATTTTCTTTGTTGCATATAAATCTAGGTCGCTTACGTAACAAAGGTACACAAGGGGCGTGTCTACGCAGGTTAAAATCCATAAATATATTATTGATTAGTGCAGCCCTATTGCATTGTGCACATGCCAAGCAACAGTTTGCCTGAAGAGAGGTGGCTGTAAGGTCGTCCACAGTGTTGTTACATTAAATGCTAAAGTACCAGTTTAAAAAACTGATGTGTGCTATGTGCTATACTATATAATTAACAAATTACATACAATTAAATTAACATTATTTTTCAAATGCTGAAAAGCAGGAATTTTCTTAGGGTAAGCTTGATTTAGTAACAAAAAATATTAATAATTTGATTATTTTAATATGTACAATATAGATGTTACATTCAAATATGCTTAACACCTCCAGGTAAATTTCTAAGAAATTAATTAAAATTTTAAGAAATCTATTGTTAACTGACACGCCGGCGTGTCTGTGGTCGTGGAAGGATTAATCATAAGTTGTAATGAAAAAAAAACATTTTCCTTGAAAATAAAATTTACTTTAATTGGAAGTAATTAATTCATGTTGATATCTAAGTATGCTAGCTTGCATTATCCATAGCCTGTGTTCTATATATAGAACATGTCCTACATAATGTATTGAACACCTATTGTGAAAGTTCTTATAAAGCTTAATTAATATTCTTTATAATATAGAATACTTCATTTTTTTTCTTTTAATTTTATATTTATATCTGCAATCCGCCTCATCTATATCAGCTATAATCAGAGTTTGAGATTTTGCACACCCACTGCCATGAGATCTCGATTTATTTCTAGAGCAATTGTAGCTAGTTAAGTCCTTTTCAAGCGAACTACACTATTGTTAGTATTAAGGAGTGCTGTATATTATTGTGTCACTCAAATCTGTGTTTATAAGCATTACATGATCTTTAATTGATCACTTGATATTCATGTTACTCAGAGTTTTTTATAAACCATGCTGCATTACATATAACTTAGAATAATGTTTTAAGAATGCTGCAGTATTTAAATATTGGAGTGGTATGAAGAGCCCCAGAGTTCTATTACATTATATGTCCAAACAGGTTTTATTACAGATTTGTATATTAGGATTTTGTTTTCCAGGCTTAGAGATGAAATGAATTCTTTATAAATAACCAGAACAACCCTTATAAAGTTTAGTACCAGTTTGGACAAAAATAAACAAGATATACATTATAACGCAATCTATTTACTTTGCTACTTCCATGGAGTTTGCCAAGTGACTCACAGGAACTTTTAAATCTTTTATGATAAAAGGTCCCTATATGCAAATAAGACTAGGTGTACTTGTAATGTACAGAATGTTGATTAAAAACAGTCTAGTGATGTTTGTATGATAATTACCAGTGCAATATCAATATTTATACTTAATATTAAAAAGAGAAAAGATTTATTTTTTTGTGCCGAATAGGGTCTACTAATACTGAACCGATTTAGATGAAATTTGGTAAAAAGATAGTTAAAGACCCTGCGAAGGACGAGTTTTTATCCCAGAAATCATCCCTTAATGGGGTGAAACTGGGGATGAAAGTTTGAATGGTGAAGCAACCTAGGGATGAACCAGTGGGAAGCGAGGAGGAGTGGCTAGTCTATTGTAAATATGGATTTAACTCTCACTCTGTTGCTTTATCAAATGCTAATTGGTTTGCCATTTAACTAATTTATCTATATTTCTTGCTAGAGGTTTGTTCAGAATGATCTGAACTGAAGTAATTAGGTTTTTTATAACTTTACTAACAGTAAGTTACTTACAGAACATTATTTACATATTTATTATTAAGATTTGATTTTTTTTATTATATCTTTAATAAAGTTATCAATTATAAATATTTAAAGTTACTTTAACATAAAACTCAATTGCATTATAAAGAAACTTTAATTTATTTGATAATGGCAATACAATTTGGGAATACCCCTTATAAATGAAATTATTACACCCAATTAAAAAAAATATACATTCACAATCTGAACTGGCAACTAACACAAACATGTTGTTGAAAATAACTATGAAACATCTAGTTCATTAGTTGGTTGTTTATTTTGTATCATCAGGTCTTAGTAGCATAGATAGATGACATTAATAGATTATTGAAACATCGTGTTATTAAAAAATAATTAAAATTAATTCAATTAAGTACTCATGAGTTTTTATATATTATACACTTCCACCAAAACCAAGTCAATTTTTTTCAATTAATTGAAACTAATACTTCTATAAATTAGTTTTATTATTTGTGTCTCTTTGGATTATTATTATTATAAAATAAAATATGTGTATTTTTAATAGTATATCATATTTTTTATTACTTATTAAATTTATTTATTTGCCATGCCATCACTAGCATTTATCTTGCACTATCTATCTATACTAAGTTCAATTATCATTATCATGTTTAAATTAGATGTTATCAATATTCTAATGTTTATTTAATTTCATTTATCGTTGTATTTAATAAGTATGTAACTTTATGATAGTATATATAAGAAAATAAATGAGTAGAGAAACATTTCTGTCACTACAGGTTTTAATTCAATAATGCTGCCTTCAATATGAAGGAGATTATGAAAGAAATGGTTGGCGGATGTTGCGTATGCTCGGACGAACGTGGTTGGCCTGACAACCCGTTGGTGTACTGCGATGGCAATGGGTGCACCGTTGCCGTCCACCAAGGTACTCGCACAACTGTGTATATTCATAAGTATTGTGAGCGTATAACTAAATTTCTTGTAATATTCTAAATTTCTTAGCAACTGGTTTTTTTAGCAATTACAATAGAATATAATTATAAATAAAATGGTCACTGATGACCATAGAAGTATTTTATGCTAATTGTTTATGTAATAAGTTATTTTATACTCTTAGATTTTAGTTATAAAACTACATGAATGATTGTTATTATAGATATCAATTTAGTGTCTTATGCAATCGTTTTTTAATAATTTTGTAATATTTTTCAGCTTGTTATGGAATCATCGCAGTCCCAACTGGGAATTGGTACTGCCGCAAATGTGAGAGCCCAGAGACTAAAGGAAAAGTAGTAAGTATACATTATGTGTGTACTAGCGACTTACCCTGGTTCTGTTCTCTTTCGGGTGCATCCCTAAACTTGAATGGTTTAGGAAAGTATAAAAGACCAACATTTAAAGAAAAAATATTTTTTTGTGCCAGAAAACTTCGCATGTGTATACAGAAAAAAACCCACCAGACTTTCATCACAATCGGATCAATGGTTTGGGAACGCATAGAGTACACACATAAGAGCATTAATTTTTATTTATTAATGCTCTTAAAAACATTAAAAAAACTCCAAAGCTTAAATTTTAGCTTTCCTGCAGTAATTTTTGTTTAGTTAATAAACGAATTAACCTTAGGTATGATAAAATGACCAAAAAATTTTGTAATCAGATAAATAATTTTAAGTATTTTTCACCTCGCTATCTTTGAAGACCGATTTTAGCCAAAGTACCTTAATATTAAGTACTATTTTTTTTATGATGATGAAAGTTGAGGGTCTGGAAAACTGTTGAGACCTATTTAAGAACCACGAAGTCACCTGTTTAAATTTTTAATTTAAAGTTGAACATTTAAGTCACAATTCACCGAATGTTAATTTTTCCGTTTACTCTAACATTTTCATAACTTCCATCAAAGTTACGAAGTTGATTATTTTAAGCATATTTAGCAATAGCACAGAAAATGTTCTCAAAAAGTCTTAGAAGACTTTTTTTTAGAACTTTTTTAAGTACTAAAAGTAAACTTTTTTTTTTAAGTAGTTAAGTTTGAAAATTTTCAAAACTTCAGAAAAAATCATAACTCAAAAACTATAAACAATCGCGTAACATACATGAGTGATACGGGAACCCCAAGGGGTGCTCTATCTCTGGACTTCCGCAAACACCATAATTTGAGAAGCTATGATAAGAGAGACTTGTCTAGTTCTTGTTAGATAGCTTAAATAGGTTGAGAAGAAAGAGTGGGCGACTTGTGTATGTATATATATCCATATATATAAAAATTTTACTAGCAAGCCAATGTTAAAGAAGCTTATTAACATTGACTCATGCATCGTTAATAATGCATATAAAGATTGGAAGATAGTAATAAATAGAAAAAAATAAATATATTGTTTAGAGTAACTAAAGCAAGTTGAGGTGTTCATAATATTTTTGATTCACTTCAATAAGAAGGTGGCATACAATGGAGCTGTATTGTTTGTTTTTGCTTGTATTCTATACATATTTGTTAATTGTGCGTTTTTAAGTAAGATCCAATAGGGCTTTATATCTCAAGGGTATGTAACAAAGGTGGTTCCATAGAAATTTTAAAAAAATATCTAGTGATGTCTAGTATATGAGTGAAATAATCAGACGTAAGTAATGGTGTAATTAAAAAAAATCCATTGAAATAATTGCATTTTAAGAAATTTAAAAGTAGCTGTACTTTAATAGAAAAAAGTCATTATTAGGCTCATTAAAAGTAAGGGTCATATTAAATTAAGAAAATAATCACTACTTATGTCATCCGTGTTGTAAATTCTATGTTCATTATAAGAAATCTAAATTCAATGAATTTGCAGAGATGTGAGCTCTGCCCTTCAAAATCTGGTGCCCTCAAGCGCACAGATACAGGTGGTTGGGCCCACGTCGTGTGTGCACTGTACATACCAGAAGTGCGCTTTGGCAATGTCACTTCAATGGAACCCATTGTACTCAGACTAATACCCGCGGAGAGATATAACAAGGTTAGTTTTTATAATTTTTTTTAGTATACATTTCATTTTACATGTGTGATAAAGAACTTACCTTATGTCATATGTCAAATTATATTTCACTAGCGACTCACCCTCGCCCCGCTCGGGGTCGTCCCTACGTTTAAGCGGTTAGTATAGATATCTCAGAGATGAGATATTTTCCCGCAGTAAAAAGTATTCTATATGTTGACCGGGATAATTAGCTATCATCGTACCTAATTTTATCAAAATCTATCGAGTAATTTTCTCGTATTGCGTTCCCAGACAGACCATAATTCTAAAAACTATAAATTCGGCCTCTGTATCGATAATAATCACTATTTCAATAAGATTTTCCAAAAAAAATAATTTAATGTACAGATTCGATTCAGAATTTTATTATATGTATAGATTTGTGCATATTTAAAGAGAAACTTTTTTGATTTAATGTTACAATAAGTTGGTTAGATTACTGAATATTATATATGTATCCAGGTTAGTTGTGATGATGTGACTCATATGAAGCAATTTGCTAAGTCTATTTGATTTCTGACTATGATGTGGTTTTTGTATTAATATATGGTTGGTTTTTGTATAAGAATCGATTTTCATGATTTTCTTTAAAAGGATAGAATAATTAGCTTTAAAATGATTTTAAAGTTGGTATACCTTTTTAGTTTAAATAGAAATTACAAGCGACTTATTACTTCGCTCGAGTGTGTCCCTGAGTGCCTTTTGTATTCATAACATAATATACAGTGCAGAGCCACGTTTTAGCAAATCTTATTATGAACTATAATTTGTTTTTGGCTATAATCTATGATTCTATCTATTGATTCCCCATATTTCATTCCTATTTTCAGCACCTTGAGGGATGATTTCCGGGATAAAAAGTATCCTATGTCCTTTCCAGGGTCTCGAACTATCTTCTTACCAAATTTCATCTAAATCGGCTCAGTAGATCGAGAGATTACCTCCTACAACGTCACAATCTTACAAACTTTACCTCTTAATAATATTAGTACAGATTTATCCAAATCCGACTCACCATGGAAGAATTACGTATTATGTACATACACACACACACACAAACAAGCACACGTTCATAGCTCTAATATACACGTAATAGTAGTGCGAAATTTTGCTTTGCTAATGGTATTTTTGAAGTTATACTTCTTTTTTCACGTTTGGAAAAAAATGTCAGAGTAAAATTTTTACGCGCGCGCACACCGACAGCCTAAAAGCGACACTAGGGAGTTAGGTGCATTCCTTTTACAAACAGAGAGTTGTGATACCTATACGAGATGAAATCTTTAGCTATTTTTGTTCTGTTGCGCCAAAGAAGTATAATTTCTTACGTGCGTATATACGTAGGTACACAAACACATTTTTTTAATATGGATTTGTATATGTTTTCCAGACATGTTACATTTGCCAGGAACTTGGCAAAACACATCGCGCCAACGCCGGCGCATGTATGCAGTGTAACAAGTCTGGTGAGCCACGTTTAGTATTCAGTTATTATTAATTAAAAAATATGTACCTATATAAATATTTGTTTTTTTATTATTTATAGAATTTTATTGAAATTATTGTAAACTATAATCTTATACTGCTGGGAAGTAAATTCATGTAAGTCGTCATCGACATGGTCACGTGATGTGTTAACGCTAACACTCAAAGTGCCGATAGATGACCAGATAAATGTAAACAATTTTAATTTACAAATTTTAATTTAAGATCAAACTATTAATTTGAATATCCAAGTGCACAGTCCAAGTAACTGTTTGTTTATGGTTTTAAATTTTCACTTTTGTCGGCAGTTCACATGACTGTTTTTTTCTATTTGTATTCTTGAATTTTATATCTATCACAATCAAAACCTTTAATTGTTTTTTTTTATGTTAAGTTTTTGTTGCTTGAACGATTCGATTCATAGTAAGTTAACCTCAGGTCAGTTACCCTCGGCTTGCTCGGTTTCGTTCCTAGGTACGTTTTAATGGATAGTATGGAATAGGTAGTCAATCCCTTGCTCTGCGAAAAACAAAACATCTATCCCACGGGAACCGTATATTCATCCGAAATAAAAAGTAACCTATGTGGTATTCCAGACTGCATTCTATCTCCGCCAAATTTCATCAAGATCCGTTCAGCCGTTCTGGCGTGATTGAGTAACAAACATCCATCCAAACTTTCGCATTCATAATAATTATATAATAGGCTATCTTGATAATTATTTTCTGAAGTGAACTCATTCGATTATTTTTTAATTTAAAACAAATTTGACATATTCTAAAATTTGGGAGCAATCAACCTAAAAATCTAACCCTGTCCCCAGGCTGTAAACAACAATTCCACGTGACATGTGCCCAGAGTCTAGGCCTGCTCTGTGAGGAGGCTGGAAATTATCTAGACAACGTGAAGTACTGTGGCTATTGTCAACATCACTACAGCAAGCTGGTAAGTGGTGTTATGAGAGCAAGAAAATAATCTTGTAATTATACTATTTGCAAGAATAACAACAACATTTTATAATATAACAGTATTCGTTGCAAGAATCACAACCGTTGTGTTATGTTAGTGATGATTTTTCAAATAACACATCTAGAATGAATTTATTAACGGGCTATTTAGATAAAATATTTCATTTTTCATTTTAATAACTTTTTTATATTTAGTTTTTTTTCCAATTTATTGCAATAATTACAACAATAGGATTTGAAAAATTATTTTGGGCTGTGCGATTGTACAGTGTTGTTGCTCAGCGAGTGCATACTAGGGATTAATGAAAAAGTTAGTAAACTTATTAATACATTCGTTATATGTACTTTTTTAAATAATGATATCCATTTGCGAACTTGGTTATATTGGACTGTCTGATACCTAGAGGTAATCTAAATTTCTTTAAAGCTTATTAAGCTGCGTACTAAAAGAAACTTTAATCATAACATTTGCATCTGCTAAACCGATATTACTGCTCTAATGTTACAAACTCCATTAAAATCGGTCCAGCCATCATCTTCATTGGCAATATTGAAATATTTATATTATGGATCTTTAAACATAAAATCATTAATGAATATTAATCGTACGCAGTGTTTATTGGATTTGTATACAAACTATTTTGACGGTTTAATATCTCTTTTATTTAATTACTTACATTCTTTAGTGTTTCTCAGTATATTGAAGTGTAATGAAAAAGTGGGTACATATAAAAAAGGTTTGTAGTACACAGCTCGATGTTTAAATGTTTATAATGGATGGATGTTTGATTGTACAACTATGTTCTACATTATTGTTCTTGATGTTTTTGTTCCATTCTCATCCCCACCCCCCATTGCACTTCATTGTAACGATACAGCTTTTATTAAGTTTAAAAATAAACAGTATTAGGGTGTGCCTTTTTCGATAAAGTTTAATGTTAATATTTATTACAAATTGTGAAAATAGCATAATTGCTGATGATAAATTGAGAATTTATTAATTTTTTTTTAATTTATTTAGTAATTTGGATCTTTACTTAAAAATACATATTTTAACTGACCTAATACAAGACAAAGCCACTTACAAAAATCTTTATATTTTAATCAAAAAGTCACCATAATTCGATACATAATAAGTTCATTGTTATCATACATATGCAATTTTCATAACTTTCATACTTGATAAACAGGAAGTTGATTATAAACGAAAAAACTAAAATGGCTGGTTTTAACACCACGTTTTATCAGTATTGCTAATAAAACGTCCTGTTCCCATCACCCATGGGCTCTATGGTATAGACTATAGACTGTAAATGTTAATTGTATAGATACATATTTGGTGTACGAATCGATATTCTATTATCAAATCGATTTTGCAATCGATGATTTGGTATTCGACGTTAAAAATGACTAGTTATCTCGATGGTTGATGTCGATTGTACGATTTTGTTAAAACTCGAACAGTACTTAAGCTTTTTTTTTGAATTTAATTTACAACAAAGCCACTTCCAATTGATGAATTACAAGAAAGGTAAGTAGTGTTTGAGTTCTAATGATAATGGGACGTCGATTCTAAATAATTTCAGTCGCATCCAATCATTTTCATATCTTGTATAACATCCTTCTCTTGGATATAAATAAGCCATGATTAAAAACGTATTCGAGATTTTACACATATTAATGGTGGCCTTAAAGTACTGTACGCGCCACGTAACTTGAGCCTATATGTTTAGACATTTAGTTCTTAATTTGTTAGCGGGTCGCTTATTTTAAGACATGCACGGGAACTCCCCTTTGGTTCATATCTATAGCGCATTTTTCTTTAGTATTGTTAGCGATTTTTATATTAATTTATTTTACTAAAATTAATTTAACCATAGTGACTTAAACTTATATTAATAAAATAATATAAACGGAGGATGTAAAGGGGCATTTATCTGTCAATGAAAAAAATAATGTGTAATATTAACGATTAGTATCAATAATTATAATTATAAATTATATTTATTGTTAAAGTTATTGAACGTTTGGTTCAACTCGCAACACGCGTAATATGTAACGTATTAAGACTTTTGATACACAATACAAATGAAAGTGCGATCAACGCCATCTTGGATCAATTAACTTGACGCGTACTGAAGTGACCCCCGCTATCCGTTAATAGTAAAATTCCGGGTATGTAAAGCTCTTAGAAATTCAAAATTTGTTTGGATTTATTCGAATATGCGATGCAGTTGTTACACTAAAATATAGATAAACAATTTGTCTGGCAATCATAAAAAAGTTAATGATATCTTAATATTCCTTCCGGCATAACGTTTTACCGTGTCGTATCTCAATTGTCAACACCAACTGCCGTCCCGTATTCGATAGAACTGCGTGAGATCGTATCGAGCGAATCGTGACTATAGTGGGGCATTAATGTAAAACCTTGGCAGAAGAAAGGCGGTAACGTGAAGACAATACCGCCGTACAAACCGATAACGGGCCACGACAGTCAGTCGAGCGATTCCAGCGAGAGGGAGTGCGAAGCGTCCCCCGTGCCCGCAGGGAAAGCTAAAGGGGTATGTGCGAACAGGGGATGCTTTGGAACTGGAATGGCGGCTATACGATACAATATAATGTTATATATGCACTGTCATATGCAGGGCTGCCAGTAGAGACAATTTATTTTAAACCGCTGGGTCATTCGTTCAACAATACTACTAGATAACGTGTCACATACAAAATCAAAGCTAAATTCTGTCCGCGCGAATATGTACTTATACAGCTGCATTTGTATACTAACGAACCAAGACAGTCTTATCATAGTTTTATTTTCAACCTAAACAACACCATAGCACCTTGTAATATAGTCACAAATCTTCGAATTATCATCATACACTTACGATCATTTCGTAAGTTTTATAATCTTTCTTGTAAAATGAACCTTATATTAAAAAAAAACATAATGCACTTTTTCCCGTTGTTTTTTGGTGAACTAAATCGTTACGTTTTATTTCTGTTTGTTTCTTTGAATTTCGCCAAACGTTCTCGGTGGATTTAAAATTGTTCAAAATTTCATTTTTATATTATTTAGTAGGTTAAATCTTAAAATATTGACTTAATTTACATAGATGTGTATTTACCAAAAATAAGATATTCCGTCTGAAATATATCTTCGCGCATTATTTTGCAATTTTTAAATATATATTGCGGCATTGTGAACGTGTTTACGTTGGCAGTGTTTCGATAGAACTAATCGATATATACGCTCACTTTGCAAGTGAGCTTATATTTACCGAGACGGATTTCTTACGCCGACCCGATATCTAGTAGTATTGTTACTGTAATTATACCAAATCAAATTTTATTATACAAATTAATAAAACTGTTGAGAAATAGTCTGTGTCGAATAAAAAAATTCAATAAAAATAGGTAAAATAACCATATTTTACAATTTTCGTATTCAATTATAGGATCTGGCAGCCCTGGTCATGTGTTGTAATTGATGTTAATTGACTGAGGGTTTGGTTTAATTGTCAGTTACAAAAAAAATTTTGCGATAAGAAAAAAAAGGTTCGCCATCCCTGTTTTAAACCTCGATTTATATTTACGCACACGATTCAAGTTAACGATTTATTTCGTGTTGATTATATACATATTATTATTATATATATAACTTAAGTAACCTAAGAGGGATGTGAATGTCGTCTGCTTAATTCTGTGTACCATTTATATTTATATATTTTGGATATGGCTTTGTTATTTGTCGTGTACATTCCGTATTGGATACACTTAAGCCGAAGATGTTACTCTAGTTTGTTCGAATATAATCTCCTTTCCGTTTAGAGTATTGCTTCCTTTTGATATTGATTTTTATTTATTTGTAATAAAATTGCAGTGATATTGATTATTTTGTAGTGTATTTTTTTTTTATTTGAATGTGTATGATTTGTTGTTTAATATTGTTCTTATATTGTCGAATTATAGCCGGGCCGTAAATCCTCGCACTCGAGCGCCGGCCCCTCTGGTAAAAATACACCAGTTACTAATAAGACACCCTCACTCGCGCCACAGTCGCTCGGTAAGTACGATATATGGTGTTGTTCTCTAGATAATCATATAGCATTAGTCTAAACTGTATCATATTTAAATTAGCAGTAGCGGATAGCGGTTTTTAAAATTATGCAAAGCAGTTTTTTTTTTTTCACTAAAAGCAAAGAATCGTTGCGTGCATTTTTTTTGAATAGATAATTTAAAGAAAGATTTTGACTAGATATTACAAACAAAAAGAAGACGTTTCAAGAATGTATTTTGGATATATCACACAGGTTATCTTGATATGAGCAGTATATATTAATTGGTTTAACAAATAATATTTTTTTTATTCATTATATACTTTAACGTAGGGATTGTTCTAACAAAAATGGAACGTCTCCTTTATGTTACTTAACTTTTGTTTTGCCTAATAAAGCAATAACATAATAAAGCTAAACGATTGTAGTATACAAACATATTAATACTATGATGACTTGTTTTTTAAGGATTTTTGTAATTTTTTACTAATTTATGCAATTATTGATCAAGAACGGTGCTATATGGGCCGCCACAAAATCAGCTTGAGACCGGCTGAGAGAAGTTTGTCTTTTGCTTGTTTGTACTGTGTGTTGTTGGAGAAGTTAGACGTAGATCGATGGCATGCCATTGTTATCTACCACAATCTACCATAGACTTCTATTGTCATCAACTATTATCGTCATTTTCCTTTATCAGCCTACCATTTTTCATATTGTGAAGTCTTATTTTCGTCGCATTGTTAATACTTTTGGAAAGTTTGAGTATGAATACTGCGTTTTGTTTTGATGCCTGAATGTAAGCATAGCGGTATACATCTTATTATTTTACATTATGTCGATCAATTTATTATTGTGGGAATGTTATTTGTTTATATCATTGTGAAATCATGTATGGACTGGAATTTAGTTATCTATGACCATAGCGTATTTCATTACTCTTTATCCTCTTCCGCAGTCATGTTTTTATGTCTTAATCTCAATTGTGTTTGTTTTATACCAAAATAAGATCACAAATATTACCTTTGTGTATCTATAGATCTGACTCGCTATATTGTTTTTCTATGTGTCGTGTCGATAGAACTATTCATTTTTTTTAGAATTCTATTACCCAGATGATGTGAAAGGAAGGGAACCTTCCTTTAAAATTTGAAGTTCTGGTTTTCCCTGATTTCACCCTTATTCTAAATAAATATAATATTTGAAAACAATTATTAATGTACAATGTGGACAAGTAAAATAGTTTAAAGCTTACATGTTTTTGAATTATGCTGTAATAAATCCCCATTTAAAAGCTAGTTAGGAAAATTTATGAAGAATGGGATTTTTTGGCTTATCCCAACAAATCACGTATTCAAAGCGGACAAATCTCTTGTAACTTTAATTAAAATTGAAAGCAAATTCGTATGAAGATTATTATAGCTTTTGGGATTGTCAGTATTGTCAAAGTTATTGCCATATCAACTGTATTTTGGCATGCCATTGATGTTACTAGCTTTTCAGTATCCCATATTTTTTCTTAGTATCGTTGTGTACAATTTGTGTGCATCAGTAGCGATGATTAGGGTGAGGGTATCCGTAAGTTAAGCAATGCTGACTAAAGTAAAGACAGAAAGCACACGCATATTTTTAGATAAACTTATAAAGGATAGAAAATAAGTCGTTTAAAGACATTACTCAAGTATTTTTTTAAAAAAAACCGAAAAGTTATGTTAAAAATGTTTATCGTAATTCCGAAAACCCTCGCCTTAACAATAGTTAAACATTTTTGATAATAGTGTTGATTTTATATCAATATTTAATTATTAAATATTGGGTTTTCTCTTTCGAAAATTTGAGCTACTTTTCTGATACTTTATCGTGACACATACAGTTTGACATTTATACGTAACGTAAACAAAATTTTATAGTTAAAGCACATTTGTGTAGCCACAAACATATTGGGAAACAACTAAGTAATATAAATAAATAATTTCAATAAAAGAATTAGGTGATCGATTTCGAGATATCGGAATAGAAAACCTTCTTTAGATAATAACATTAAACAAAATATTTATAGAGAGCTAATGACGAATTTGTTGGGACAAAAATTGAGTAATCATTTAGGATGTAATGTAAATAAGTTTGTTAATAATTTTTCGTAATCTTTATCCTCATAATATTTTTGAAGTCAGGTTTAAACTGTACTGGATTGAAATTTCCGATTATGAAAAAAAAAATTGGAGGACATCATCGATAGAAAGACATATGCCACTTACGTGGATTTTTTAATTTAACTAAGAAACTAATAGCAGGGGAGAGGCGCAATTGCTTTTATGCCAATTTAAATGTTATCATTAAATCTAAGTGATTACTTTATTTTAATCATGCACACAATTCGTAACTGGCTTTCAAACATTCTGTGACTTTCTCGTTTAACTCATTCAGTTCTAAATTTTGATACTGAAATACGAGTATTTAACATAATGTGCTCAACTAACGTGACCTAGTAGTCACAAAAAGACACAATTTTTATTTTTAAATTTTAATTTGAGTGTGTTGTCGGTCTTAACAATAATTGGCCAAATAAAACCGAATTAACACATATTTCATAACCTCCCAAAAACATTATATTTTATTTTAACTTTGTAGAGATGGACATATAGAAATATAATGGTTGTTTTAAGTTGCCAACAACGATATGAACAATAATTCATAAATTTACTGATTATATATAAATCGATATCAATTATTCATTTTTTTTGCGATATAATTATTCGTATAAATAGCTGAGCCCATCTCTACTGATCTCGATTGTACAACACGCTGAACAGGTTATACCTATTCAACGCGGGAATTTAACAATAGAATTTTTTTATTGACTTTAGTGAGCAAGAATGAGTTAAACGATTATTGGGTTCAACCGTAGATTATAGTCTAGTTAACTTATCCTTTTTTAGGCTAGATTGCCTAGAGTCTAGATTTTTAGAGATTTGTTTCGAATACTTGTTATGCAACACATATATCTCGAGTGATATATTGTGGAGTCGCTGTGGACTCGGTGGTTGAAACTGATGGACCCATAATTACAATGAATTTGTTGACAAATTTTATCTGTATAATTCGTTTTGTACTGCTGCCGGGAAGGGCGTCGGCACGAGTTCATTACATACAGGCGTTTCTGAGAGATGTATGCCCGTCAGGCAACTGATCCGTCTGATTCGTGGTTAAAAATATATGCTTACGAAAAATATGTATTACCCCCTGTGCGGCGTACATCTCTCATAGATAAAATAAAGATAACTAGGTATTTTCTTTTGGAATATTCAGTCTTTTCCTCAATTTTTTTTTCATCTTGTCATGTCTGACTGCCTCTAAACGTTAAAAAGAAATCAGTTATCTTTAGATACGTAGGGCAGTGGACCAGAGTTGAGTTAACATTTTCTTAAATTCGTTATATAATATTCTACAAAGCAGAAGTCTTTTAGTCATCATGTTATTATTTTGTCCTCTCTAATAGTGTATCTGTTAGTTAACTTTTTAAGCTGATAAGCGAATTTCAGATTGAAAGTTTGTATTGAAAATTGTGCGTAAAATTAAAGTTAAAAAAAAATTAAAGCCAGTGGAATAAAATATGTACATGTCCACTATATATCATGACCTGTAGACAACTACGCACTTATTATTTTAATTTAGGCAGTTTAGTTAACAAGTTTAGTGAATGAACGCTAGTAAAATGTGCAGATAAGAAGAAACCCTCCCCATCGCGCCGCGGCTCGTCCGCCGGAGACACGGGCAGTAGCAGTAAGACGAGTACTCCTGCCCCCTCTCCCCAACACAACTCGGACACACAATCACAATCTAATAAAGGTAAGTTTATTTATTTGGTAATCTTACAGCGTTACAAAAATAATAAAATACAGTTTGAGCACAAAGTTATTAACAAATACGTATAAATTAGATTACTTTATTATGATAGCTTAAATACCTAATGGGCAACAGAGTACTCATATATTGAAAGAAGAAAAAACTCTGAATAATTAAAATTGATCATGCTAATGATATGCACATCAAACATGTGTTTACATGTATATATGTGCGTGTGTTTGTATGTGTGTGTGTGAGTATAAGTTGTAGTTTCTACGAGTCACTCACTCTTTTTTATTACTATTGAAAATTATTATATAAAGTTAGTAAGTAAATTGCCTTGATAATCTCTCTTTCTATTAGTGTAAAGTGTATTGAATATACGTACAGTACTTTGTGAGATAACAAGACCAGAACAAACAAAAACAATGTAATGATGGTACCAAATATGTACTAGCCAATTAAATGAACGATAAAATAACATCTTTCCACAACGGCGAAGAAGTCGGAAATTGCGAAATGTCACTTTTATACATTTTTCAGAACAGGCAAGAAACTGGGTTTTTTTTATTGAGTTAAACAGTTATTCAGGACAAATTTTTCAAGTGAGGAACAGTAAAAATGCTTAAAGAAGTCATGAAAACGCTGCCTTAAAAAAGACCACGTTATTATTTAACCGATACCGATGTACAGTTACTTTATAAGGATCCAATTTTGTAATGTAATTACATACGAGTTTATTTGAAGAAATAAATGCATATTATCAATTATTCACACATTATATGCACTATTTAAATTGTTTGCAGCCTCAAGGCTCAATTCTTCGACACCACAGCATCTTCTTATTGAAATTTTTGACCGCGATTGTAAACCATAATAAAAGGAAACAATGAAAGTAATTTCTTGTCACCAATTGAAAGGCGCAATTGGCATGAATTGTAACAATTGATTAGTTCAGACTCGATCACGAATGTATATTGTTTAATATGAACCCTTTCTTTTAGTGGGTACATGTGTTTGTTTCATATACAATAAATATATTTAGCAACGATGGTCAATAAATTAATAAAATATTTTAATGGCAATATAGGAAATATTTTAAAAAGTCATTTATTTTTATTGACATTAAAATAGATTGATGATTAAAATTGAAAATAAATAGACCAATCTCCGTCATGTTTTCTCCATTTTATGTGATATTGGTAAAGTCGTATGTGCTCTACTTGTACGTTTTAAAGCTGTTAATTGAATTGAATATAAATAAAGTTACTCTTTACATAGGTTCAGGTAGATCGACTCCTAACAATCCGGCTAAGATCCCGCTACCATCTTCGTCTCCAAAGCAGCCGGAGATGGGCGGTGTTATTAGCTCGATTGCGTCAATACCTATACCTCCAAGGTAAGTGAAAAATGTGCTATTTGTAAGAAAATATAGGAAATATGCATATCTAAGATAACCTTAATAGATTTTGGAAGACATGTGAATTCCACCAGCTGGTATTTGAGCAATGTAGTGTGCACTTATGGTCTTATTCTTGTTCCATAGAAGAAGGCTCGTGTTCCCTAAAATTATTTAATAGAAACTACTAGATACCATCAGCATTTATACTACTATTGAAGTTCCGAGAAGGAAAGATTTTTTTCTACTTAATACTGTTGCTGGTGTGTTAATATGTTAGATTGTAACTGTTTATAAGGATTATTTCACTGTTTGTTTCCCGAAAAATAAATCAATTAATTAATTCACTAATATCATTATACCAGTAGCTTATTTTTTTATCTTTCTAGATAATGCCTTGTTTGTAAAAACCGTGCGAAAATCGGTTTAGTTGTTTCTAAGACTAGCCAGATCAAACATACACTGTGCAACGGGGGATTATCCTTTATAATATGTAATACTCGTAATTAGTTCATACAATACATTTTAAATAAGTATCTCTTTTGGGATTTTCTCGCGGATTTCTTTTGATCTTTGGTTCCCAACGTGTCGAAAGTTTTGAATGGAATGTTCCTAAAAATAATTTTATTTAAAATATCAACTGTTCGTGTACATAAATCTTAGAAAATATTAGAATACTTTTTCGTCCAACAGTCCGACAACATCGTCTACGGTGGTCCAGACACCGCCCAAGCCTGTGTACCAGGAGTCGGTGATAACTAACACTGAAGCGGTAGACACTAAGCAGACGAAGAAAAGGAAGGCGGTCTCTGTGCCCATGGCAGTGGACTATACACCCACTACTGAGGCTAATGTGGTGAGAAACAAGCATACGCACATATGTACATACAAACATACATATACATACATACATACATCATACATACATGCTTACTTTTATCTATATGTTGTTTAAAGACAGTTGTGATTTTTTGTTACAGACCGTTTAGTTTAGTTCTTTATTTATTAAAATATGGAAGCAAAGTATATAATATTTTTTTTTTATAAATGAGCATAATTAATAATCCTTAATACTTAATAAGTTATTTATACTTTAAAGCTCATTTACGAAATATCCAGTGTCGTATGAGAACTTTTGTTTTCAATTACCCAATCCGTCCTTCTGTTAGTGTTTTTAAGGTATTTTTGAGGTATTATAAAAAGTTGGTTGGACATTTTTACAGGATCTGTGTTATTACGGCGAATTCCCTAAAAGTTTATAAAAAAATGAAGCGAGTAATACAAGTTTGTTTCAACTCTATTGTAAAAATGGTAACACATCTATACATCTATACAGATAAATAAAATTGAATTGTCTGTGTGTAATGTCAAAATAACAGAGTTTTACTAAATGCATATGAAATTATATACGGTACTTATAAGAAAAACACAAATTTTAACATTTTTGTATGTCTGTCTGTTTGTTCCGGATAACCTCTGAAACGGCTGGATTGATTTTGACGGGACTTTCACTGGAAGATAGCTGATGTTATAGGGAGTAACATAAGCTACTTTTATTTTAGAAAAAGAATTAGGGTTCCGCTCAAAAAAATTAAAACTTACCTATGGACAAACCCGAGCGAAGCGAGGGTGAGTCGCTAGTACGACCTATAAATTTGATGTGGTTATTATAATAGCTCTAAAGTACAATAATAAAAATGTCAACAAGTCACAGACAAACTAGACTCATTGACTCGCATTAATTGACTTGTCTAAGTCACTTTTGACCAATTTTTTTTACTTATATAGCAAAGTGAGACAACCGCTCAAGCAAGCACTTCTTGGGAGCCAAATCACAATAACGACGCTAATATGGAAGGCGTTGAAAAAGTTATTAAAAAGGTAACATATGTATGTATGTCCTTCAATATTTTGTTTACATATGAAATAGTACCTTTCCTTTTGATTTTTTTTAATACTTCACATAATGTATGTACGAAATAACTGTTTCGACCAGGAAATTTAATTGATGAATATCTTTCATTTTAAATAAAACTATCTTTACGAATTCTTTCGCGATTCGAAAAGATAAGTTTTGTTTAAAATGTCAAATATTGGCGTTAATCTAAGTAAGTAATACTTTCATCTCTTTCAATTTCATTTAATGTACATATATGGTCACCTGCAAGGAAAAGCACTGTAACTCCGTATTCGTAACTTAAATTTTAAATAATATACATGAAATTATCTCAATACTGAGTTACAACATTATTCCTCGCTCATCGATACATTTACAACAATTATATGCCCCATATATTAATGTGAAATCTGTGTATCGCTAGGCAAAGACAGACAGTGCAGAAGTGAGCGGTCAGCCGAATCCGAGTCACTTTGCCTGTCTGAGCCCCGTGCCCCCTCCACCACCGCCCCCGCACAGCCCCGCCTCACAACCGAGCCCCAGGTGCGTTTGGTGTTGTGTGTTAGTGTTATTGTAGTACTCTGCAACAGTTGCTCGTTTTTTAATTGTAATATTAATTTACAATACTGAAATAAAATAATTAATTCTTATCTGACGAGAGTATCATCTAACAGTAATCCCACATATTTGTATATTTTTGAGTAATATTATATTTTTTGAAGCTTAATATGGATTAACTTTATATATGAACATAAGTATGATGAGTTTTACATCCCTTTAGAAATAATTGACTCCCCATACAATCTTGCACCTCCATTTACACCCCCTTAAGGGACGATTTCCGAAATAAAACTATCCTATGTCCTTCCCAGGGTCTCAACAGACAGAATTACTTTTGCATTTATAATATTATTGTATGGATTTTTCTAATATAATATATTTTGAACTCTTCTTAGGCACCTGCCAAGTCCAATGCCAGGTCCGAGTGGAATCAACCAAGTGACCAACATAAGGTCACCGTCGCATCCACAGGTCAGTTACGAAGTATGTAATATGTGGAAATTAATACTACAATTCATTCATTACAGCTATTCCGTTTATTTTGTGCAATTTTTGTTAGAGCATTCGACCTCTTACTTTCAATTTATTTGCGATTCATATTATGGTTATAATGCAAATACATTATAACATATATTTATATATATATATATATAAATAAATATCTTTTTTATAGGGTAAAAATACATATATAGCTTTATATGCTAAAGCAAATCATGCTTCGTAATGCTTTTAATATAAAAACTTATCTTCATAGAGCTTACGAGCGCTTTTCTTTTTTTTATTTATGAAATACTATTAAGTCTAAATGTATGCGCTCTAGCTTTCTTTATTTGATCATTTATATTTGAATTAGACTTTTTTAAATTATTACTTGATATATGACATCGTTTTTTAAACACATATTTATGTCGTTGGTGTGTTACATTTTTCTTTTTTCATTATTTCATGTAAAGTTTTATCGTTGCATTTTTTATAAACACATAATTTTGTTAATTAGTCATTTTGAATGTTTAACCTTTTTCATATATAGTTTTAAAGAACAAACTGCGTAAAATAAAAATAATGATGAAATAATTTGATTTACTTAGTTCAGTTATTTAAAATATTTTTAATTAATTTAATTTAATGATAAATTAAAAAAAAATTAATGTATGTAGTACTCTATATATGATATTCAAAGTGTTTGCCACCAATGTCGATTTCGTAATATCACTTTGACGAAAAGGCGGGAAAAATGGCCTAGCTAAGAAATTATTGAATCTCATATCACTTGTCTTTTTTTATTCATTTATTTCATTGTTATCATCATCCCACTGTTAAAATATTAGCCCGGGTCATTTTTTTCGTTTATGTTTTCATAGAATATTTGTTTTGGTGTGTGGGAGGAAATGTGTGATATGAAAATAATAAAAAAAAACTGCAGTAAAAGATATTGACTTATAAACAAATCCTAATTTTAATCAACTGTTAGGTGGTTTTTTTGATTTTGTATAGGAAAGCTGTCACCTTACTCATACAAGTATTATGAGTAAGGTGTTCTTATTTATTTAGAAGTACAATTGATTGACATGTAATATAAAGTGAAGAATTAAGAGTAGATTTTTAATTCTGCCCGAGGCCATAAAAAATAATTGTTGAGCATATTCAAACTACGGAAAACATAATGTTTCACCGTTAGTCATCAATAACTATTGCGCCCCGCGCTATATAGATAACTATAAAGAAATCACTAGAAAAGTTTATATTGAAAAATAAATTTAATTATTATATACTATCAATCATTACATACCTCAAAATATTTCGATGACATGCACTTCCCAAATAAAATGTATGCCCCATATCACGGGGCAGTATTGCTTAAATAGATATTCAATAGATATATTAGTTGTATAGGTAGGTACAAATAGAACGTTCCCCCCTCACACCGTATCTAAAAACGCAACTAACGTAGTGCGCGAGGGAGCGCGAGCCGCCCGCGTCGCTGCTGGTGTCGGTGCCACTGCCGCCCGCCGGCCACGGGCTCGGCATCGCCCACGCGCAGGTGAACACACGTTGTGCACGCGGTCTTACTGGAACTTATTGATACTTATATACATACAACAAAATTCTAACTAAGTCGAAGTACATTAAATATTTTTTGGTTAATTTTATTGAAATAGACATTATTATCGATACAGACGCCGAATCTACAGTTTTTAGATTTTTTGTCTGTCTGTCTGTTACCACATCGCGGAAATACCACTGGAAGGATTTTGATGAAATTTGGTATGATGATAGTTGGTTATCAGGGTTAACGTATAGGATACTTTTTACTGCGGGAAAATATCTCATCTCTGAGAAATCTATACTAAACGTTAAAACGTTAGAAGTGACGAACCCGAGCTTAGCGAGGGTGAGTCGCTAGTATATAAATAAATAAAACTATGTAGCTGATCCGATAGACCTCGTTATGTCAAATCAAGTGTGTAGCGCGCCCGATTAGAGAGATTGCGTTTTTACGTTTCCAATTTTTGTCTTCATAAAAACCTTCCTCTGACTTTAGCGAATATTTTAATAAAAAAACAGACGAATTAGTGCAATTGTTCTCGAGTTTTGTTCTTAGACACACTTTTAGCGATTCATTTTTATTTATATACCTATAGATAAAAATAAGAAAAATAAAAAAAGGGATATATCGCACACTGTTAGGGTTTTTTTATTTCAAAAAAAGTATTAATCAAATTAACATGCAATACGATTGAGACCAGAAAAAATATAAGTATAATTTAAACAAGCTAAAACTATATGAAAAATAACAGTTATAAAATATTCATATAACCAGCAAAATATAATTTCATTTGGTTGACCAATACTCATTTTGATCTTCTTAATCTTGTTTGTTCTATGTAGTATTGAAGATTATGTGTGTTTTAGTTAAGGAATGTAGGTTGTGTTTGAGACGATTCGGGCTTTAGTTAGGTTTTAGTATTTTTCATGGGGTATTTTAGATATTTCTAATTAAATGCGTTAAGGTTATTTTGGCGTTTATTATATTATAGGAAAAATGGAATAATTTTTTTTTTTCAAATAATTTGAACTATACATTTCTTTTGTATTGATACATTTTTTGTATTGATAGAATTATGAAAATTTAATGAGGCTTTGTTTATTTATAAGTGTTTATTTTAATAACAATCTTTTTTAACTATTATTCCGATACTCGATAAAGTAAAACCGCGTGCACATCCGTTATCGCTTTCATCTTTAATTATCATGTCAACATACTAACTGTAAGACAATTAGACAGCTAACAACATCGATCAAAAAAGTACTAAATCCACAATCAGAGACAAAAAATATTCTCACTGAACGGGTGCTCATTTGAACTTTTTCAGCGCGATTTTTTTTTTGTGAAAACAACTTTAGGCATTGCGTTTAAGGTTCATTTTACATTCTTGTTTATTTATTTCAACTAGAATAATTACCAGACCAGACACAGTTGGTGACGGTTTTAAGAGAACTTTTTAATGGGATTGTGTATCTAGTACTTTTTTGATCGATGGCTAACACCTATTATTATAACACTTTATCGATCGAGTACACATATAGGGTAAAAGAATTACCATTTAAAAATATAATATATGCACTATCGATCGGTGAAGAGTTTACGTACTTGGGTAGGTAGCGTTAAGTCTTAAGACGCATGGCTTTATGTTATAATTGGTTTTAAATATTGACGCTTTCATTATACCATCAAAGCTATTGTAAACTACGAAAACGTGCTTCGAAATTTCCAGAAGGAATTGATGTAGGATAGGGTGTTGGTATAAAGTAGATACTAGGGAAAATGGTGTACGCTAGTGGTTAGTGTTAGACTATATTACAAACTTTTAGGGTTACATAAAACTATTGGTTTATTCGTTATTATGTTTGAAAAAAAAATCATTGAAATGTGGCAAATACATTCCAATTTTTAGTGCATCGAGGCATAACACCTTTGACTAGATAGAAATTCGAGGCAGTTAATAATATAATATACTGTAATATAAAACTAATTGTTGCCTGCAATTATGCTCGAGTCGCCACATACAGTTTGAAGAACAAACACACGAACACTCACAAACTTCGCATGAGCATTAGCTATTAAATGACAGGTACTTCGAATTAGAAATCGCATCAAATAGGATGTTTTAATTCTCACTAGTCCGACACTAACACTGGCTAGGGCAGCTGTAGAGGACCGGTAAAACTAATTTGAATTACACTTAGCGTAATCTAGTTTCTGAAATGTGTTAAACTTGTTCCCTTTCATTTCGTCGCCATTGTTACGCACAATATGTATATACAGAACATAGACATGTCCCAGGCGTTTCATGGCGCGCGGAAATAGGGTACATGAGGGGACTAGCACTAAGAGATACGAAATACATTTCATTCAAATAATTTGACTATTATAGTTGTAATTGAACTATAATATTTTGATAGATAATTTTAAACATAAATAATGCATTGTGCTATTCCGTTTTCCATGGTTTTTTTAAATAATTGCACTGCGCTGGAATCGAACACGCGATCGACGTTTTATATTTAGTTTGTTTCGTTCTATGGAAATTTGTATTAAGACTAATTTTGATTTAAACAAACGTTAGCATAGATTTTTTGATTACTATGCTACGAGTGTCTACGTAATGCTAATGCATTATAAGTTAGTCTTGTAGTTTTTTGCTTATATTTTAAATTGTGCCGTTTCTTTTTCTATTCTTCACCTTTATTAAAGCGGAGACATGGCCTATGATTATATTATTACTTTTATATTAAAACATCGTGCTTCCTCTTATGTAACTATATTACATAGTTTGATTTAATCAAAATAGTTACGACATTTATTTTATTCAACGAAATAATTGTAGATACCGCCTCCCCCGCCGGACATGGGCTTGTCGCCGCACATCTTTCACCAACCGCACAAACAGGTGAGTCATGTACTGATTATATTGTTGATATTGATGTTGAACGACTTCAAACAAAGACAGACTGTCCCTAACCATAATGGTTATATAATAATTAAATTGATTTAATTGTATAGGTACTTAATTTTATAATAAACATAGTGCATTGTAGTTTATTTGATATATTGTGTAGTTAACACAATGCAGAAATTAGAACATGTGATCTTCGTCCCAGCGATTGAAGCCTTCATTGTGCTATATCTTGGAGTAAATTTGATTTCTTTTATATCAATTGATATGAAAATGTGGTGACTATATAATATATATTTTTACGTTATAATAAGCCGTATTAGAGTGAAGCTCAGGGAAGTTTAAGGGTTACTTTTGACGATCGAGTATAAGTATTTAAAATACTTGAAGAAGGTCAGGTCAAAAAGAAGGACTCTTCGCTAAGCATGTACGAATAAAATTAACCGACTGGTGTATGGAGACAAGTGCATGTTGAAAATACGCATGTTCGATTGGGTGAAGCGATTCAAAGAGGGGCGTGAATCGATCGAAGAGGATCCACGTGTAAAAGCTCCCGTAACCTCTCGTACTGATGCGAATGTCGACCATTTGCGAACGCTGATTAGATCTGAGCGGCGCCTAAACGTTCCTGCGTTGTCTGGCGAGTTAAATATCAACAAAGAACCCATCCGCAAGATGTTACAGGAGGATTTGAACATGCGAAAGATTGACGACAACGCGCCGGCCCACTCTTCGTTAATTTGTCAAGAGTTTTTGGCGAAAAAAGGCATACTAACGATGCGCACCCACCCTATAGCCCCAATATTGCAACTTGCAACTTTTTCTTATTCCCCAAGATGATTTCACATCTCAAGAGAACCCGTCATGGCGGCGTAGAGATCAAAGAAGCTGTAATCGTGGTGTTAATTGGGTTAAGTTCAGAGGATTACCAAGGGTGCTTTGCATCGTAGGAGCAACGTTAGAACCGTTGTGTTCTAACGTTGTGCTTTGTGTTGTGCTGTGGGTTAAAGGGAGACCATTGTAAAGGTCGGTAATAAAATGTTACAAGAAACTTGATTTGTTTGTTTTATATTGACAAATTCTCGGAACGTAATTGCCACACCTCGTATAACAGATAGCCATCCTCAATGAACGGGCTATCTAATGCAAAAAGAATTTTTCAAATCGGATTAGTAGTTCCTGAGATTAGCGCGTTCAAACAAACTCTGCCTCTTTATATATCAGCATATATAAGATGACATGAAAATATATATGTATATAGGTAAGTAGGGTATCATAAAAAGTACAACCATTGTGTGGCGTAACACCCCTGAGTTAAAGGGGTGTACGTACCATGAGGCTAATACAAAATTGATTATTTTTTAACTTTACTCTGTTTGACTCCGCAGGAAAGGGCTTGTGATCATGAATGAGTCGTGCGATTGTTGTAATTAACAATATAAAGGTACAATTCCATAACAACTAATGAAAATCGTTTTTAGTAGTACTAAAGGAGACGCACTCGGTGAAAAACGTTTTATTTGTAGAGTCCATTAATTAATTATCGTATGTATTTAATTATTCATAGTTTTTAAGTGTCGTCAAAGGGAATGTAATTTAATAAGTAGTAACACGCCACTTCATGTACTCACGAACTTGTTGAATTTGAAGAATTTTGCATTTGTATAATTGAATATTTTGCTAGACATTATAGTAGGTCGCCAGCCAGCATTATTTGCCATTTCTAACAAAATTTAAGAACTACCCGTGTCTTGTAAACATCCATACTTAATATTATAAATGTGAAAGTGTGTTTGTTTGTTTGTCTTTCTTTCACGTCGAAACGGAGTGACGGATTGACATGATTGTTTGTGTGGAGATAGTTGGAGGGCTGGAGAGTGACATAGGCTACTTTTTACCGCGCGGGATAATCTCCTTCCCACGGGAAAATACGTCATAATACAACCCAAAAATTATTTATGATCAGAATAACTTGAAACTTGGTATTAATGCCCTTCAATACAATTAAATAAATACGTACATTTTGGAAATACGTCCCATAAGAGGGTAAGATAGGGGATTAAAGTTTGTATGAAACCTACTTTTTTAGAGTTTTTATGTAGTTTTAACGCGAGCGAAGCCGCGGATTCTGCTAGTTTACCACATTTATTAAAACACTTGACGCCGAGTGTGAAACAGTGTGCCACACGCCCAGTGATATTATTTATACGTGAATAATATTATTGTTATCTATATATATCCGTATAGATACATATAATAAAACTGTAGATGGTCTGTACGTAGAAAAAAATACTAAAAACCAAGTCATGAGAGATGTAAGAAGAGAAATAGAACAAATCCAATTATTTTTCATTTTTTTTGTTTCTTTGTCTGTTTGTCTGTTCGTACGGGCTAATCTCCGAAACTGTTGGACCGATTTAAATGAAATTTTACATTTTCGGTTAACATTTTAGATACTTTTCATCCCGGTAATTAAAGAATTCCCGTGGGATTGTTAAAAAACTATAGTAACTTATACAGCTTAGTACACAACAACTTATGCACTTAATTTAGTAAAATTTGGCATGCTGAAACCTTATATTGCCGGTCAAGCAGCAGTTTACTTTTTACCCCGGAAAAATGAATGGTTTCTGTGGGATATGTCTGTTTGAGCTTTTCTATATAAAGAGATACGAGTTTGTTTGTTTGAACGCGTTAATATTAGAAACTACTAATCCGATTTGAAAAATTATTTTTGCATTAGGTAGTCCGTTTATTGAGGAAGGCTATCATCATGCTACTACCCAAGAGAGCGGAGTAGTAACTATAAATATCAACAAATCGGGCAGACTTCCATACATTATTGTAAAACTGATGTTTATATAGAAAGTTTGAAAGCGGGCGAAGCCGCGGGTAGTGCCAGTTAAACCATAAAGTTTACAAGTATCAGCAGTGTAGTCCTAAATAAAAAGACATGATGTAACTTATTAGCGATATAGTGATTATTTCATTAAGTTTTAATTACTCTTTATCCCATGACATCGGATTCAGACACATGTGGCGACGCTAAAAATATCATGTAATAATTATATTTTACAATTTGGTTGCTCTCAATGGAATTAAACTTTGAAGGACTCACTTACGCGTACGCGTTGCTTATATTGTAACTAGTTTGAATGGAACAAAAGAAAGTTTTTTTTCTGGTGTTTTACTTAATAACATTTCAGAACGTTTTATATTTTTTAACTCTTTACAAAACATAAATATTTTACCACTCGTAAACAAACGGGCCGTTACCTACGCAAACATACCCATAAAAATGTTAACATACATTTGTCAAAACGCAATGTGGTGTATATTGTATGTATTATGTAGAAAACAATAGGAAATTAACACAAAAACGTTTCCAAGAAAAGTTTATCTTTTACAATTGTAGCTTACCTGCCCCATCCCTTGTGCTACCTGACTATCCCTTCCCTGATCCATCCCTACACTCAGTCTCACCGAAGCGCCGGCTCGGCAACATCTGCCGCGATATGTGACGCGAATTTGTTAAATATTATAATATGTCAGTATAAAATAGTGCTATTAAAAAGGATTTTTAATGGAAAATGGTAAGTTATTGCTTTTTATATTTATAAGAAAATTTTTACACTCGTGTGTATCGTAAATGATAAATGCAAAAACGTCAAGCCACATGTGGCTTAAAGATTTGCAATTTTTTTAAACGATTTGCGTGTCTCCACTGTTATTTTAAGTAGACAAAATTGGGTTCATAAAAGTATAATAATATGTAGGGATAGCAGATGTGAAAATGTAGGAAATGTTAAATTGCATCAAAATTAGTTGAGCAGCTTCCAGGCGCAACATCAGGAACCAAATCTTTGTTTTACCAGGATACTTATAGTTTAATTAATTTTTACATTGAATATTTAGTGTATAGCCTTCATTTGTACCTAGCCGTCACTGAAGCTATAGAATAAATTATCGGCAAGATGCGAATTAAATTAAAATGTTCACCGCACTGTGTTATCGAATAATCTAAGAATTTACATATGTAGGCAAATAAATGACATGTAAAGCACTTGACTCTCGACTTACTAGATTCTCTTTCGCGACCCATTCGCATTTTAACTCAATGCTTTGGTCGCCCGAGTTAAGAAACTTTCAAACGTAACGAGTTTTATCAAAATCTACTTAGCCATTGTGCTTTATAGCAAACTTGAATCGAAATAATCCATGCTATTAATATTAATAATACAATTTTTGTTATTCTCATATGAAAAGATAATAATAGTTAATTAACGTTTCCGATTTCCTTATTGCAAAGTCAATTGCGTCTTGTTATTGAAAGTGTTGGTTAAAACTTGTGATGTAATTATTAATAATTTAAATATTTATAGAAACATAAAAAGCCCTTCTTGATATCTAGCATAAAATTCAATTTTGAGTTTAGTTTTGAAAACCATATTTTGCAGTAGCTTTAACTATTGAGTTTGGTTTACGCATAAATGTTTGATGCAAAAAAATATGTAGGTATGTTTTATTGAAGAAATAAAGTTATATTTTAAAAGTCGAAATCTCCCTTTTCTAAAAAAACGGTTCGAATTTAAATAGGACTAAAATATGTTTTATGATTCATTAATTAACTTGTTTCGCTCAAGCTTAGTCTACGTCTAACTGTGTTATTGGGATTTTTCGACTTATTAAATAAATAAAATACCAACTGTTAATATGAATATTCTAGAATAAAATCTCAAACTTATCAGCAATATCACATCCTTTATTGCGAAGTTTAAAACTATTCAGCGCACAAACAGACCGACAGGAATGTCGACTTTGTTTTACATTGTTGAGAGATAATCAGGACTGCTGAATCTTGTTTTACATTGTTGAGAGATAATCAGGACTGCTGAATCTGAATAGGTAGCACGACATGGCGTAGATATAACTGCGCGTGCGCATTTCAGTATGTTGCTTACAATAGACATGTAATTAGAGTTACGTTGCATTTAACGTTTCAACTCGGTATCGTAGTGTCTTTATTATTATTGGTTTTGCTCTCTTAACTGTTGGTAATCATATGTTGATTTTGAGAAGCCTATATTTTTTTCAGTATTCAACAAAAAATTGTTCAATTCAATTTTCTTGTTAATGGCTTTAAAGCGTGCCGGCTAACAGATTACTTCGCCATGTCTCGCAGAATGGAGAAGACACGAAGGAGATTGATCGGTAAAAAAATATCGTTTACATTTAGAAGTTTAAACTCTATATACAATAAACATATAAATTTCAAATATTTTGTGTACCAAAATGGCTGTCTTGTCCGTTGCGTTTTGAATAGAATTATAACGGCAGTCTAATACGAAAGTCAATGCTCGTTTGCAATGTAGATTTCAAATTACTTAAATAATTGCGAGTTTCTTCCGTTTTATTCTAGATTTTTTTTAACTTGGTATAGTCATTTGGTATAATCGTTTTATTATTTCAGAGGTACAATACGTAATACGTATACTTAATTTGGCTATATAGGGGAAGAATGATACCGGTTCTGATTTGAGTATTTAATTCTATTTGGATATACTGATACCAGATACTTTGGGAAAGTAAACATTTTATGAAACTACGCACTAATAGTATTGATACACTCATGTATGATGTAGTAGGTACATACACGTTTTTAAAACTGTAAAGTGCTGATTATGAAACATACAGTAAGGTGCAAAACTGAGTCTGGATACTGACATTTTTTATTGTATCAAATATAACCATATTTATAGAAAGCTTTTTAATTCATATATATTATTATTTAAAACTATAACTCCTTAATTACTTAATCCGTATAACTATTGTGCAGTATCGTGGCTTTAAAACTTAGAGATAATCAATATTGATTGACTCTCTCTTTCGCACCGTGTTAAAAAACGTCTTCGCGCTCAAATATTTACGTACTAAACTTTTCGGGAAAAGTTATTTAATTATTTAATCTTTATATTTAATTTACTAATATTTAATTCTGATCTAGTGAGGCGTTTTCAGCTTCTGAAACGGCGGCGATTTTTGTGCGTCTTGCGTTGTACTGGCCCTTTGGTGAGTGACTAAGTGAACTGTTCGTCGGGAGTTACATGAAGCAAATATGCGAGCTGTCCAAATGAAAATAAAACTTCTTACTAAAAAAATATTAAAGCTAGAGAAAATTTTGCGAAACAATATATTAACTGGGCTGAAGATGATTGGATGAAAGTTATTTGGTCAGATGAGATCAAAATTAATAGATACAAGACAGACTATCGAAAATGGAACTGGAATTTCTTCCAATAGTAGATGAAGGAGGGTGTCGCGAATACCGTAGGGTAATCGAAAAAAAATCGAAAGAAATAAATGTTTTATTTATTATTTGTCATTAACGAGACGGTAGTACGAAAAGAGTTCGATAGGATTGATTGAGATTTGACGCAGACGCGATTATGACGCGAGCGAGGCAGATCAGGCGCAACACCGTGTGTTGCCAAGTAAGTGGATTTATTTTACCAGTTTGTGAATATTCAGTGTTATTGCGTGTGAGCAGATTGCTTGATCAGAAATCGGATTCAGAGTTAACATGTTATCAGATAAATCAGACCAGTGATGTGAGATCAGATAAATCAGTTTATCAAATCAGAACAGTTACCAGTTTAGCGAGGCTCGGGTTGGCCATAGGAGAGGTTGGAGGCCACTGGCGAGGGACCAGACCCTTGTGCATTAAAACAGCTTATGTTCATTACCAGCAATCAGTAAATCATATGTTTAGCAGTTACATTATAATTATTATGATATGTGTTGTATCTACTTGTCATGTTATATTCGTCTAATACCATGAATATAAATACCCTGTATTTGGCGACAGACTAGCAAAAGATTTTATACAATGGTGGTGGAAGTATTAAATTATGGGTTTTCTGACAGTTTATGGAATTGGATCAATTTATAAAATCAAAGGACATTTTGATGGGAAAGTGAAACATATTAATCTTAAGACACATCTGTTGGAAGCTATTTAAAATAATTATAGAATAATGAAGTAGTATTCAAGGACCTTAAGCACACCTTGAAAGTAGTAAAAAATTGGCTAAATAAGCAAGAGTTTCAAGTCGTGCCCTTTTTTTTTATAGTTGGGAAATCCTATTACGGATACCACCCGACTTCCCCCGGGGTGGTTATGTGGAGACTCTCCGGCTAATGAGACCGGCATACCCACTAAAACCCAACTCCCCCCCCCCATTCTCAAGCGGGACAACCCCATTATGGGAAGACCCAACCCAAGAAGAAGTGAGGCCGCTCCTAAGTCGACTCTGCTGATCAGAGAAGTACCCGGAGCAGCCCCACACCAAACAAACACCGCCCACGGAAGTGGGCAACCTGCAAAAATAATAAACCCCACCCAAATTGGGTAAACCCCCCAAAGACGCCCGCGAACGAGCCCAAACACAAACAAACAAAAGAAGAGGATGCGATAACACAACCACCATCGAACTTAACATTCTATGGGAACGTGTGCAGGAACAGTAGTACAAAATTCCACCTGAAGAATGTAAAACACTTATAAAAGCAAAAGGTCTTGTAATAAATAATAAATATTAATATAAATCAGTATTTTTTGTAACTAGTATAAAAGTGAACCAATTTTATCTATAAGTGTCTATACCTACAGTTACATAAAATTGAAGTGTCTGTTTGTAATGTCAAAATAACAGTTTTTTTTACTAAATGCATATGAAATTATGTACGGTACTTATAAGAAAAACACAATTTTTAATTTTTTTGTCTGTCTTTCTGTCTATCTGCTTGTTTGTTCCGGTTAATCTCCGAAACGGTTGAACTGATTTTGACAGGATTTTCATTGGCAGATAGCTGATGTTATAAGGAGTAACTTAGGCTACTTTTATTTTAGAAAAACAATTAGGGCTCCGCTAGGGATGCAATCAAGCAAAGCGAGGGTAAGTCGCTAGTTTGTAATTTGTAATATTTATAAATCAAAAGTATGTTTAAGCTTATCAGACTTTGTTCATTAGAGTTATAAATAAATGTAGTTTTTAAGAAATAATTTGTTTATTATTTAACAATCAATCATATGTTTAAAACGCTATTTTTAGAGAAATATAATGTACTGAATCAGTTTTGCATTTTACAGTATAAATATATTTAATTTTAAAATAACATACGTACTAACATAATGACCTATCACAGGCCGCAATGGATCCCACCGTGCCTCACTCACCGCACAACGTCGGTAGGAGTGCGTGGGGCGGGCTCAACGTGGCCTACGAGATGCAAGATCCTAATAAGCCTGGGTAAATATATAATGATAATGACACAACTACTAATGTACTAATATTACTATAGAAACAATATTACTAACTTACATTTCAGGTTACATTTGCCTGAAGGGTTTTCATTTGTACCTACTTTTGACTTTGCTCGGGTGTGAGCCCTTTGTGCCTAACAATAGCCTGTGAGGTACGCCAGCTTGTAGTCAGCGTTCACGTTGTAATCATGTTGTACAGTGATAGGTGTACTAAGCTTCATTAAAATCAGACCAGCCGTTTTAGTTTTACGAAGTAACAAACAAACATTACATAGACTCACATATATAAAAAAATGTATAAGTAGTTCGATAACAATTGTTTCGAACAAGATCGAACTTCTGCCCTCAGGCTTTAAGCAAGGGATGTAATGTAAAATAATATTTTATTTTTTTATTACAATCTATGATGACATGATTGCTGTAGTTGGTGCGTAATTTTCTTAGTTTGTAAATTAGGCAAAATAATTTGGAATATATTTTTTATAGTCAAGTGCCAATTGAGATTAAAATCGAACCAACCTCGAACCCTCTATCCTAGTTTTGCATCGAATTTCTTAGAAATGCTCAGCAAAATTGAAATCTTAGCTTCAATTACTAAATTGATTAATCTATTACTAGAGAACTGATTCGATTTATCACCCAACGAGGTTAGGACATGTACTTTTACATTTATACGAAGATATGATTTAATGGAATTGAGACGTCGTCCGATAGTTAGTCTCACAGCATAAAACCAGGAACTGGGCTGTATTTATTATATTATATACTAGCTTTCACATATTATAATTTAAAAAAAATATATTTTTGAAACAAATATGCTTCTGACCGCGTGATTGAAATTATTTTTTTGATTGAAACTGATTCAAATTAGTTCAAAACGAAATTTTAACTAGTATTGAAGAGTTCTAATATCTATAGCTGGCTCCATCATCAGATCAGATGGACGTGATCAAATTATTGTATTGTCCTCTACATTTATATATATTATGTACTTACAAAGTTTTAAAATTGTTTGTGTTCTCTCCCGAGTCTCGAGTATTCTATCCGAAAATGTGTTCTAAAATTGGTTTAGAGTTTTCGGACGCATACATAGGTACATTTTTGTACATTTGTATATTAAATGTTAAAAATATATTAGGTAGGTATAAGGTAATAAAATATTTTAAAGTACTAAACTTATATTATCTATACATATAATAAAACTGAGTGGAATCTGTACATTAAATATTTTTTGAAAAATCTTATTGAAATACTTAGTCATTATTATCGATACAAAGGCCGAACCTATAGTTTTAAGAATTTTTGTCTGTCTGTCTGGGAACGCATCACAAGAAAACCACTGGAAATTTTGATGAAATTTGGTATGTTGATAGCTGGTTATCCGGCTTAACATATAGGGTAAAATATCTCTGAGAAATCTTTACTAACCGCTAAAACGTATCTAATATACTTATTAATTACTATAATTTTACCTACTCGAGAAGAAATATCAACTTCAAACTTAGTATCCCAAGTTGAATCTCGCGATCTCAAAGTTGACAAACTCGAAACTTATGCTTTGGTGACAGTCACTAAAACTACCTAACAGAGTGGAAACTAGGCACTCAGGTGTCAAGATTCGTTGGACTCGTCCCAGACTAAAACAAACATTTAGTGAATAGCTCGAAGGAAGAATTATTTTAATGGGTTTTCTAATTAATTAGGTATATGATACGAAATATAATGTTTGTTTGGAACTTAAGCAGAGTCTATATTTGAATTGAATTTGGACTTTTTAAGTAATACTTAAAATATTTAACTACTAACCAGACTAATATAAATAATAATTTATATCAGATTTTCAAATCAATTCTTTTTTTCCTATATACAAAAGACCCAATATAGCCAACTTACTATTTATTTAAACTCATATTGCACTATATTATACATAGGTTTTCATGGGAGATAATAAAAATAAAAGAACTTTTAACAGATTAAACGTAACTGTGGAAAAACAACTGTATTAAACAAAGCCGATATACAGCAGAATTTCAAATTGTTACTTTCAAAAGCTTTTGTCTTCACTTTGTTCTTTAATGAATTATGATTTTTTGCAAATGCATTTAACTGAACAACATCTGTGTCGCAACACGCTAGAGGTCTAACCGCAGTCAATTGCGACCTATTAAAGATATGACGCCAGATGTTTGAGACTTTGTTGGGTCGATTTTGATAAAACTGTGTGACAGACAAAAGTACATAATATAATGATGAATTGTAAACAATTTAAAGTTTCAGAAGTATCGAAGTATTCCTATTTAAATGTATTGCATGTATTGTATTTATGCTATTGCTTTGCCTTTGCGGTTTTTCTATGTTATCTATACTATAATAAAACAGTAGAGGTCGAATGTCTGTACATAGCAAGAAAATGCTAAAAACCGAGTCAGGGGGATGTAAGAAGACATACAACAAATCCAGATTTTTTTCAATTTTTTTGTTTCTCTGTCTGTTTGTCTGTTTGTACGGGCTAATCTCCGAATCTATTGGACCGATTTAAATGAAATTTTGCATGGTAGTACCTTATATCCCCGGTCAATATCTTAGATACTTTTCATCCCAGAAAATAAAAAGAGTTCCCGTGGGAAGTTAATAAACTATAGTATCTTATACAGCTTAGTACACAACAACTTATGCACCTAATTTAGAAAAAATTAACATTCTGATACCTTTTATTGCCGGTCAAACAACAGGTTACTTTTCATTCCGGAAAAACGAACGGTTCCCGTGGGAACTAATAGATCTCTATTATCGCTAGTTTTGTATATATGTATTTAAATTTTATTATCTTAATACTATTTAGAAATAGAATTGATTATAAAAATAAATTGAATATAAAAGTACTAGTTAAATATATCTAATTGAAATTTTTGCTCATTAATTTAAATCTATAGGTACATATAATAAAATTGTAACCAAGCCGAATCTGTCCATTAAATTTTTTTTGGAAAATCTTATTGAAATAAACATTATTATCGATACAGAGGCCGAATCTATAGTTTTTAGAATTTTTGTCTGTCTGTCTGCTACCGCATCACAGAAAAACCACTGGAGGAATTTTGATGAAATTTGGTATGGTGATAGCTGGTTATCCGGGTCAACATATAGGATACTTTTTACCGCGAGAAAATATCTCATTCCTGAGAAAAATACAAAAACTGCAACGTAAGAGTATACTAATATGTTAAACCTAAGAATGTGGTTTTTGGTCATCTAAACGCGGGCAGAGCCGCGGGCAATGCTAGTATATAATAAGTTTGTAGTTAAGTGCTAATGTACTGTTTTAAAATTATGAGCAAAATAAATAAATGCCAAATAAAGCAAGGATTATGTTGAGAATCTGTTAAAACGACTGATTCGATTTGGATAAACCTTTAAGTTTAACATTGAGTGCTACTGAATTTATTATTGAATGATCTGATTGATAAGTAAACAATTTTATGAATGTTTTTGAATGCAATTTGTTTTATTGCTAGATGTCAAATATCGCAATTCGCGACGTTGTTATTATATCATATTACATATAGTAAATGCTGAGCGATGATTTTTATGCATTAGCGATTTCCTATAGCTATGCTTGCTTTCTATCACAGTGGTACATGCGTGAAACACTTAATCTCCAGTGCATTTTATAAGTAGGGTTGTTAGTTTTAATTTGAGATGTGACTAAAATGGAATCGAACTTATTTCGTCAGTCTTAACGTTACTAGGATTGTAACGTAGTGAGTTGTCTAAAAATGTCTAATTTTTCTCATTAGATATAATATGTTATGATATATAATAATATTATTTTTAGTCATATCTGCTTGTGCGATTTTACTCGTAATATAAGTAGGTACCAGGATTTTTACATCGTTTATAATAATTAACTAGCTTCAGCTTCTAAAGATTTTACTTTCTTCGCTGTTTGTTATGCTTACAATATAAATTAAAATTAATAAAATTATCTACAAATGTATATGAAAACGACGGTAAAAATTGTATTTTAGCGTGCGAAGTACGCGGTTGGGGAAATAATGAAATAACATTGTCTACTATAACTAAGCGTTTGCGAGGCTTTATACTATAAACCCTAAGAGAATGTATTGCGAATCATATTAAAGAAGGTATTAGTCTTAAGAAAATTAAATTCCTTTTTATTATTAGATTGTACAATATTGCTTTGAGAATTCGTCTAGTGCATATTTGTCGAAGCGACCAATTTACCGAAAGAGTTTTTAATACAGAATGTCAATTTTATTAGTAGTAGTATATAGTAGTAGTAGTATAAAATACACCTTTTACTTTAAAAAATCTGAAAAAATGCATTTTATCTATTATTATATATGTATATAAATTTTAAAAATAATGCTTTGGGTTTGAAATAGAGGAATAAAAATCGCTACTGTAAAGTACGAAAAGTAGTGGTAATTTAAACAAATAAGCACTAAGACGACCATTTTCCTACGGCGATTACTCCGAAACTAAGTAATAATTAATTATTGAAATATATTTTATGATATGCTTCTTCGATGATAGGCTTCAATGAGTTTTAAAATAATACTTTTATAAGTGATGGTGAGTGAGGTGAAATTCTAAAGCCTAATATATACGATAGATAAAGTTGAAACATGCTCATATATTTTTTAGTAATTATTTTAAAACTTATTACACACACACACACACACACACTGTCCGCGTGCAGATGACCAAAAACCAAATTCTCAGGTTTGACATATTAGTATACTCTTACAATGCAGTTTTTGTATTTTTTCTCAGAAATGAGATATTTTCCCGCGGTAAAAATGTATCCTATACGTACAAGACCCTAATTACAAACTATCACCATACCAAACATCATCAACAATCAACATTCATCAAAATCCTTCCAGTGGTTTTTCTGTGACGCGCTAACAGACAGACAGACAAAATTTCTAAAAACTATAGATTCGGTCTCTGTATCGATAATAATATTTATGTCAATAAGATTTTCCTAAAAATATTTAGTATACATATTCGGGTTAGTTACAATTTTATTGTATGTATAGATTATATAAATTTTATTCCAAAAATCGTCTTGTTTGTACGACGTTGTGGGTACAAGGTGCACAAGAGGCATATGCTTAATGCTTAATGATCTCGTATAATCAAAAATAGGTAATTTTTTAAGTCTTCACTTTGGACCAAAATATAAAAACATCGCCTCATAAAAAACAATACAAATAAATTATCTTTCTAGCAGTAGGTATAATATAAACTAAATTCCATATTATATCAATAAGATTATTCTAATCTTCTATTATTCTAATTCTTATCTCATATTAATAAGATTATTTATTATGGTTGTATTAAAGAAATTCAACAGCCTATTTTTTCCTTCAATTAAATTTATTTTGATGTCTGATTGTAAACATGTTTTTATTGGAACTTAAAATAGCCTGTACTCTCGAGGGTAATGAAGCTTTCTATAAGGGAAATATCTTTCAGAATCGGATCATTAGGTACTTTCAGAGATTACCACCTACATCCAAATTTACAAACTTTACCTCTTTATAATATTAGTGTAGAATATCTATTGATCTTTGGACGTTTTTATAAAAAAATATTCAAAAGCCAATGGGTAAAAATGAAACAAGTTGATATATATATTTTTAGATTTTGTTATATAGCTTATTATATTATACATTATAATTAAGCATTTGATTATAAAAACCATGTCGTTTAAACACAGAAAGTATCCTAATGGAGTGCAAAAATCATACACTAAAAAACAAAAATTAATATACACATATAATGGTCTCACATAATGGAAAATACTACGTTCTATATTTTTGAGTCGAATTAATTTAAATACACTTACTGTTCTTTCTAACCTTGTTGGGTAAAATATTAATGAGTAATTATAATTCTTTATATTATCAACTAGCGTTTCACCCTCGCTTCGCTTGGGTTCGTGCCTAGGTACGTTTTAACGGTTAGTATGAGTATCCCACGGGAACCGTACACTTTTCAGGTACAAAAAACAACCTATGTAATATTCCAGACTATAATCTATCTCCGTGCCAAATGTCATCCGAATTCCGTTTAGTAGTTCTGGCGTGATTGAGTAACAAACAAACATCCATCCATCCAAACTTTTGCTTTTATAATATTTATGGGATAAGAATATTTATAAGGATTTAATTAGGAAATGAGTGATATTAACAAGTGTGTGTTGTTGCAGCGTAAGCGGCGTGGCCGGCCCGAGCAAGGAGGCGCCTGTGCGCAACAAGAAGCGTGCCGCGATGGCCACCTCCGTGGTCGCCATGGCCAACGCGCCCATGCGTGAGTATCCTCACTGTGAAATGAAACTTTGTTAAATTAGATTTATTACAAGCACTTTTGAATCGTCAATTTAAAGAGCGTCAGTATAGTAAGCCCGTGAGGAAGCTAATAACGGCTCGGAAAGCAGTTCTGCTGAGAAGAACCCAAGCAATAGTTCTTTTAAATATCGAATTTAAATTTTATTTATTTTATGTGTTTGACTTTGATATAGGTATAATTCTTTGTCTGAAATTTTAAATGGCCCATCCATCAAAAAAGTACTAGATACACAATCCCATGCAAAAGTTCACTTAAAACTGTCACCAATTGTGTCTAGGTAATTATTCTAGTTTAATATAAATATACAACAATGTAAATTGAACCTTAAGTGCAATGCTTAAAGTTGTTTTCACAAAAAAATAACATAAAAGCGCGCTCAAATCAGCGCTCATTCGGTGAGGAAATTTTTTATCGCTGATTGTGTATATCGTTAATTTTTTATCGTTAAATTTTGCAAGTAAACAAAGCTAGAATTCTAAGTTCTTATGAAATGACCGCGGTGGTTACGCGTTATCACTAGTATGTACGAAAGCTATAAAAGCCGGGGGTTGGTTAAACCTACGCGAGTCGTGCCCCGGGGTAGTCGCGCGCTACGTAGCAGGTTAGTATGAAACTCATTAATCATATTAATATTATATAAAATAATAATATAAATAATTTGATAACATATTAATAATTTTAATAGTGTACAATGAATATATAATATTTTCTTTTAATTAATGTACACATGATAATTTAGCAGATATTGGATTGGATCTCTTTCTGAATTTCTATATATTTTTTTAGTTTTCTATATTTTCTACTGGCGTCATAGAAGCCCTTCGCGTTTATATTATTACGAAATTTCTCAGAAGAGGCCATTTTTCCTATATAGTCTACAATCTATAACATTTCTAGATAATTTCTCTTTCCATTGATGAAAATGGTATAAAAATCTGTACAGTTATTGTGAGATTAACGCAAACAAACTCTTGCGGAGGTTTTAATTTATAATTTGTAGTAATTATAATAAAATAGGTAATTTTTTATATGTTAAACAGCTTTTTTGAAAAGAAAGGTTATCATTTAGATAATGTACTAAAAGCTAAAAAATAATTAGGTAGGTCCTAAGTACCAGTCATCATACCACTCTCCTCATCAATATAGGGCATTGATCGGACTCGAAATTAAATCGTCGGGTAAAGTGCGTAGCCTGAGTAAATATGTAATTAATTTTTTTTACCTATTTTGTTTCAAGTTTTTAGTTTTTCTTTATTTTAAACTGTTTATACTCTGTGATCCGCCATGCACTGTATTCTAATAGTCAAGCCCTATCATTTAATACCCATATTGAGGGGCTGTGGAAGAATATGTAATTCGCCATTTTGTGACTTCTATCTTGGATTTACAATGACACTGAATATATTCAGTTGTATAGTCATCAAAACTAAAGGTGTGTACCAAATGTCAGATCAATCTGTCATCAGGCCAGGGGTAAAATTTCAATTACCCAATTTGACCCAAACAAACAAAACATGACAAGCTAAATAAAACCGTTTAAAATACAAATTTGTTGTCAGTTGCGTCCCGAACTCGACGCCTTTCAATATCTATTGAAATTTGTTAATATTGCCCCAGCAACCTGTTGATATAATGGAATCATATACATACTTTAACCTCATTTTCCAGTACTTAAACTATATCTATTCAACAAATTACATCGAAATCAGCCCGTCGCACACTTCCTTAGTGAATCAAGCAAAATTCGACAACCAATATGCGAAATATTTACAAAATAGAATGAAAATATTAATAATAATGTTATCATGTTATAATTGACACTTAAGTGCTGAATTTCCATAAATCCCCATTTCCTTGTGCGTCTCTACAATGTCTAATGAGAATTTCCAGATACTCCTACGGGTATTTTGATTTAATCGTACATACGAGTATGAAACATAATCTCTATTTATGAAATATGATTTATATATTAAAAAATATATATTTTAACAACTAAGCATTGATTTTTGTAATATGTGTATTTTAAAATTATCTTTTATAATTATCGTATTGTTAAGATACTAATATATTAATTTCTTCTCTACACCTGTGGACAAATCGATCCAAAATCTTGACTGTGAACTAAAACGTGGTTTGTCCCAGTAAGCTTCGTCTACTTTATTAAAAGTCACAGATTCGAATCTTATATAGTAGGGGAGCCCAAGAGGGGATTTTCTGTAGTTACTCGAGCGCGGCAGATTAACATAAAAGAGGTTACCTTGCACTCTATTGAGTATTTTCACCATAATATAAGTCTTCTATATAAAGGGGCGCGTCTAGGGAAGCCGATTAAAATATTTAATTCAACTTAACTTCAATTCAAATTAACTTCGACTATAAAGTTTATGATGATTTTTGCCTCTTCGGCTTGTGCAAATCGGCAGATTATTGAATTGGACACTTTTCAGGATGTGACTAGCCTACCACACCTTAATCTGACGGTTTCAAGTATTTCTACCTTATCAAAACATTTTTTAAATATTTTAATCGGCTTCCCTAGACGCGCCCCTTTATATAGAAGACTTATATTATGGTGAAAGTACTCAATAGAGTGCAAGGTAACCTCTTTTATGTTAATCTGCCGCGCTCGAATAACTACAGAAAATCCCCTCTTGGGCTCCCCTACTAATACGAATATCTTATTATTATACATAATAATTGACACTTCAAGATAGTGATGTGTGCAAACTGTTTCTTCTGACAAAAAAAACCCGAAGTTTTATCTTATTGATTAAATCCGTATAACCTGTGGACTATGTATGTGTAGTGTGTACCCATTTATTCCCTACAAAGATCGAACTCCAGACCGTTGCTCTTGGCGCTATTATCTTTGTTTATCATGCATGTTACCATTGCCCTAGAGGGAGATTGTTTAATATTATTTACGGCGTTCGAATATCGTATAATTGCTCTTAGAAGCCTAATTATGTTAACAAGCAGCGGGCGAGAGTTCTTCTACCTTTGGGAGAATATATTTATAGGGAATGCGTAAGTTAGCATCAAAAGTACTTGCAGTGCCGGATTCAACCTTAGCGCCGCCACTGGACAATGTAAGAAATGGGGCGGCCATTATCGAAATTTTGCATAAAATGGATAAAGTTTCGATAAAGTTCAATTTATTAATTTTTGATAAATGCAAAAAACAGTTAATTTTTTTAATTATTCATTTTTTGGAAAATAAAAAACATTTGCGATAACGCGAAGAATTTTTTTATTTATACTTCAAATTTTGCCACTCCTGAAAATTTATCGCCCTGGGCACTAGCCCCGAGTGCCCTTAGTTTAAATCCAGCGCTGGGTACTTGTCTTTAGTATTAGATTTTAATGCCTGTATCTGGTCTGGAGAGCTAATGCGGTGCACTCTTACTTAATATGTGGTCGCCGAGGCTCTAAATAAATTTACTTAGTATATGTGTTGGCTCCTACAATATAGTGATAATTATCTACATCAAAGTAGGTAAAAATTAAAACAAAATATTACTGATATTATATTCTTCTGTATCATATGATAACTTTATTAGTTGATAGTGTTTTGCTCAAGAGTACAATTATTATCATAAATTCATTGCGTAAATTTTGGAAAAAACTAAATCATCAATGTACCTAGTAATTAGAACGAGATAAGAATAAAATAATAGCAAAAAAAAATGAATGAATTAGAAATAATGTTTGATTTATAAGAACCTGTATGACCAAGCTTCGATCAGCGTTTTTTTGTTTGTAAAATCTTGTTTGTTTTTCGGAAAAGTTACGTTTTTTCGGAAAAGATACCTATAATAGATAAACTTAAAAAACAAATCCTTATCTAAATACAAAATTTCATCCAAATTGGTAGTTGCTGTTCCTGAGATACACAAATAAAAATTTTATATATACAAGAATTGCTCATTTAATATGATGATTCAAAATAAAATTTTATAAAACATTTAATGTTAGTACAAACTAATCTAAAATCTCCGTAAATGCTTCATATATTACTATGGTACTTTGTTATACATAAGTCTTATTAAATACGAAGGGAGGTTTTATGCCAGAGGTTGATACGGTGCGTTAACTTCCGCATCGAACCTATATCCGATTGTCAGAAAAATGCTATATATAAAATTATTTAACAAACACTTAAAAAACATCGTGTATTTGTTACTGAAAAATTTTGTATACTCTTTGGTGGATTATATGTACCAAAGTAACTTTGTGCTACAGAATGGATCACGGGAGCTACTTTTTGTACCAGCATAAATAGTAGCATGTATCACTCTCTGGTCCATAAACTTGAAACTTCTGTGTAAATCCACGTTAAACAAATTGTAAAAATAAGTTGAAGCAATGTCTATGCGACAAAACGTTGCCCCCTTTCTAAGTAAAATAAGAACAAACAACAACAACATAAGTTTCGCATTCTAATCAATTGCCAAGCAATGTTCAAACGTCAATGATTCTACAAGTTGGATGTATCTAACATCGATTTGAAATTAAATGAAGTTTCAATATTGCTCAGTGTTATTCAACTCAGCGAGTACTTCCAGTTCAATCCATTATGAGAGTTGTTGCACACAATATCAACTACAAAATTATAGAAACTTTCAACCAACTAACTTTCAAACTTAAAGATCTAAGTATTTTCTCCAGAGAACTTCCCTGAATTCAGAACTGTTGACTTACTTTGTTATGATGCCTGTTCTAAAACTTGGGCTGCATCTTATAAGATTGAAGAATTAGTAAGATTGGAAAAAAAATATCTACGTCCATTTAAAATTATAATTCAATCGCTCGTTATTTAGAAAACTTCAAACAAAGATTACTTTAAATATCTATAAGGTTTTATATTTCTTAATTCTTTTTTCAACGTTATATTCTTGTTCTATATCACACATTTACGTCCTAACTAAATTTAACTTTATCAACATTTTTAAATACATATATTATATAATTATGGACCTTATAAAAGCTTTCGTCTGTGTTAGATAAGAAAAAAAACGACAAATAAAACATAATTCCGATGTTTCGGACCTTACGAACGATTCACTTTAGACCATAGGACTATGGTCTATCCGACTATATAAATGTCCATTTCACAGAGACAGCAGTGCAGAACTTGGCAAGTGTCCGACGACCGCCGCAACCCACCCCGCCGCCCATGTATCAGGAAACCATCAAGGATTCACCGCCTAGCTCTCCGAGTAAGACATCACTTTTAGAGTAGTGTACAAATAAAAAAAATAATAATATATTAGAAGTTTAACAGTAATTTAAATAAATCGAGAGTATAAATAAAATTATAGTTCTTAAAGGAGCGTTAAAAATGTTTGTAATCTAAGAATAAAGATATAAAATCTATTAATTAGTTAGATTTTTACATGATTTCAGATTTTACCAAACGCTTGTGTGATTGTTGTTGTCCTATTATAAAAAAAACTCAGAATTAAATAATAATACTATTAAACTAAAATAATGCCAGTGTTCATTAATAATAAGAGTAAAACCAATCTGATCTAACAGCGTATGAACTAGGGATAGCTTGTAGACTGCATTATTATTCGAAGATATAAAACTAAAGAGTTTCTACATGATAAACATTTTAAATTACTTAAATAAAAATTCTATCTGTTATATTTTGTTTCAGGCTCCGAGCGACCACTGAAACCCAAGATTGAGGCTAAGTGAGTATTTTATTCATTATTTTGTTGTTTTATAAAACTAGAAAAGATTATTTGAATCTGGCTAATGCATGTAGTAAACGTAATTAGTTTTAATGATTTTTTTCGCTTTCATATGGTGACGTTTTCTTCCAAATATCTCGGAAACGCGATATTTTATTGCTGTTTTTATTTTAGGAATCATAGAGTATTATTTTTAGAAAAAAGCAGTGCAAGTGTAGTTGATCATATGCTCGGTAACGAGCGACATTGTCACATATATACTATCACCTCTCTGCATATGTGGTCACGACACCATCACTACCAGTTCTACAGTGAAGATTTTGGGTTCATTTACCTTACTTATGTAACTAGATCCAATCTCTCATAGAAGCAGCAAGAATGGCATAATGATAGAATCATTGAATCAATAACACCAGCGTATCTTACTTCACTGTTCCGAACATTCGTTCCTTTCTGTAGCAGGGCTCCCCTGGGACTCCCCACACCCCACCACATGTAACTATACTCTATTTACGGAGTGAACCATGCAAAGCGCTTTCTCTGTCCCACATTAGTATACAAACTGATAAGGACAGAAAACTGTCTAGCTCCGCCCACTAATGCTTGCTACTGGTTTGAAATCATAGGGCTCGTTCATGATGCTAATGCTTTGGTGAGGAATAATTAATAATTTGTAATAAAATAAAATCAACATACAAATAAACTCAACATTAAAGTAAAAATAATTGTATTTTTAAATATTTGTATACATTATTTATTAATTTTCACTTTCCGACTTATCACTGTCATCTCCATTGATGATAAATCAGGTAACTACACGAAAGACGTCTGAACGGTAGGGAATGCAACGACAGATTAATTATGACTAGCATTGTAATCGCGGCCTAAGCGTCTTATCTGCAACTAATCACGTGGAAGCGCAAAATCTCAGTGCTTGGTTCATTCGGTGCATACAGTATAATGCTATCACTCCACACAGAAGCAGCATGAGCTCGGCCCCGCACATGTTGGGCAACGAGCTGAACCCTGAAAGCGGTGCGGCGGCGCGCCTGCAGGAGCAGCTGAGCGCGGAGCTGGCGGCGCACGCGGCCGCCGCGCCCTCCGCCGACGCGCTTGTGCCGCCGCCGCTCGTCAACAAGGCTGGCCCGGTGAGTTGTGCACTTATGGACAAGTTATATAAAAACAAATAGATCAGTGTCGTGTAAAACCCGGTAGAAACGAAATTCCTTTCGCTGCCCACCTTTGACTCATATAACAACATAGTAACAGGGCAGCATAGACATCGAGCAACATACATTGTATATGTATGGACTTACAATTTTTATTCCTTATTAATAACAAAAAAAATAATAATAACATTCCAAGCGTAATATAATATTGAAACTACACAAAGAAAGTTCAAAATACAAATTTTCATCAACCTTCGGGGGGTATTGTCATTGCAGAGCACCAGCTCCGGGTCCCGAGGCTCGAGCGCCCAAAGCCTCGACCAGCTGTTAGAGAGGCAGTGGGAGCAAGGCTCCCAGTTCCTCATGGAGCAAGCCCAACATTTTGATAGTAAGTCTCGTCTATTGCTCTCACGGTGGGTGGGATAGGTTGAGGAACACTGGACGCACTATAAATTTATTATTTTGTTTATTTATTGTAATCGAAGGACAAGAAAGTTCAGGTATTTGGCGTAAATCCGAGCAGATTTTTTTATATGTGACGTTTTTGCGTCATCTCTCGGAATTTTATTATATTTGAATTTTATGAATATCGAAATTTTCCTGCATTTTTTTTAGTATTATTTGCAAGAGGAGGGGAGGATTTATATCATTCAAAAGGTACTGTGCTAAAATTGTGTGCATCACTCGTATAGACAAAGAATGGGATTAGTGTGAATAGTTAGTATTCATACAAATTAAGCGATAAATATTTATTTCGCTCTAAATAATATAATGATATATTTTAATTTAATGTTATTGTTAACAGCATTGAGTAGTTTTATTGAATAAATAATTATAGCGAAATTATGCTTTATCGGAACATTTTTGATCATTAGAGACTTAATTTAAATTATTATTTAAAACATGCGATTTTTTTTAAATACACTGATATGTATTTGTTAATAATTTAACGTATTTGTGTAATTGTGAAATATAACACGATGGTTTGCGAGAGTTGAATAGAATTGACGCCATTATTAATCCCATTGTTTATCTTTACGGGCTATATGTTGCCGCTAAGGCAGGTAAATGAAATGGACGCAAACTTCCCCATACATTCGCATTAGTCAATTAAATAAAAGCATTTATCATTTTCCATATCTATCCGACAGACTCAATTGGTCAATTATAGTCCATGGAAAATATACATACATACAAACATACGCAAGCTCATAAATACATAACTTATCATGTATATATACATTGATTTCATGCTTTACCCCATGCTAATCTTGTTATTTTTTTTAGAATATGTTTTATTCATATTATTATTTCCTTTTTATTAAGTTAGTTCTTTTAAAATAAGAGATATTTTTTTATATCTTTTTTCATTTCTGTTTGATCATTTTTAATGTCTAAAATAACAATCACTATTTTTTATTATTTTTCAATACATTTTTATAAGTGAAGAGTACAACAGTCCTTTTACGAATTTAAAATTCATTTTTTTTACATATGGAAGTAAAATCCTATATTAACGATGCCTTAGCTTTAATGCATGTCTCACTAAATAGATACATATATGTATAAAATACAGTTGTCGGTACGTGGCTGGTGGAGGCAATACAAATAATGTGTTGCGAAATGTCTTCTATCGAGAAAGCTTTCGCTTGCCGTATATTATTTTTGAGCTACTTTTGTTATTCATGCCTTATTAACGACTAGACGATGTTTATGTATAGGGGTTTGAAAATATTGTTTTATGATTTAGCGATATTTTTATTTGACATTAAACTAACTTCAAAAGAGGAATATCTAATTTTTTGGTACATGCAGAGGCTCGGAAACCCGTTCAATTTTTAAACCGGTTTTCATCATTGCCCCTAAACCGAATGGCTTTTCGGCTTAAGGTTTCGGTTATGTTCTGAAACCAGTTAAATTTAATATAACTGTTTAATAATATTTAAGAGAATGGTTTTTGACATATTAAGGTCCATTATCGAAAATTAACCGGTTAAAATGAGTTTTTGTGCGTTAATATTTGGCAAATCTTGGCTAATAGTGAATTGTTTAGTAGGATACATATTAATAAGTGAAGACTCAGCTTAGCGGATAGGTTACTTTTTAATTTACGCGATGGGTGAGTACAATTTACTATAATAAATAATATCTATCCGGTTCTATTTAGACTGAACTTGTAAATACGAATTATGATTTTGAGCAGCTTTTTTCACTGGAAGATTTAAACTTTTATATATAATCTTTATTGCGCAAACAAGAAGGTAATAGAAAAAAAATGCATATAAAGTGACGTGGACATAGATACATAGGTAGACTTATCTCTATAAGAGATCTCTTCCTGTCAACCCATTAAAATAAATGCTAATAAAGAAATGTTCTTGAGTTCTACAAATATAATATACAAAAATAATTACACAACACACTCACAGTTCATTGTAAGTCTATTGATTTAATATATGATTAATTATTATCTAGATCCATCAACGCATTTGTTGTGATAACCGATACAATCTACTTTTTGTATCCACATTTAGTCTTAATTCGTTTAAACGTTATATGATTCAAGGACAATTTACATTTGTACATGCAGAAAACAAACATGCATACTTACATATTTTCTCTCTAAAAATATTATCATCATGTTATTAATATTCGGGTAAAAATATAATCTATGACATTATCTCTTAAAAATACAAAACTATTCACTTTAATATTCTGACGACATCCCTTAATCAAACACTTAGATTTATTTGCATCATTATAAAATGAAATATATTTGATTTTTCTTTTTTTTTCTTTCCATTTTCTTACGGCGCGGCAAGAACAAAGGATTTACTAACAAAACATCAAATGTTAGGTAATTGATGCTATATACAACAAAACACGAAATAAACGAAAGAGCGTTATCTACCTGTGCGACTCACGTTTCTGGAATTAACCGGTTTATTTCGGTATCTTAATCTAAACCTAACCTTTCCCAAGATTAACCGTTAACCAATATTATGCCGGTTTACTATACCGTTTATTTGTATTAACCGGTTAATGAACGAAAGATGAATTAATAATTACATTATCGAAATTAACCGGTTTTATTTAAACGGATTCCGAGCCCTGGGGACATGTTCCGAGATTTTTTCGATGGTCCTATATTCAAAAAACATTTCATCCCCCTGAAGCTGAAATAATTATATTGAAAGTAGTTTTGAAATCGGTGTACTTTTTTAGTCAATAAATAATTTCAAATTATACTAAAGATGAATTCGATTTTTAGTTCTAAAATATCGTGACAGAATGCTTTGTGACTCATAGTGTTGTTGAACAGTTCACCGCTTTGGTTATCTTAATTTAGTCTTTAATGTTGTTCAAAAGTAATAATTGAAAGTATACAGTCAGTAATTATAATAAGTTTTAAAGCTTGAGCTTGCAGAGATAGTAATATCGGATTTCGGTTTTTGACGCCATGCTTTTTTTTCGGTTTGTTTAATGTATTAATTTCGTGTGGATATCGAATTTACGACTAGTATCGCGCTGAAAATTGCGGTCAATTTCACTTTGCAACAAAAAAATCTGCGTTTCTGAAAATTAGATATCAGCGCTTTTTTAAATTGATTAATTTTTAACGTTGTTAATAAGGCAAAAGTTTATATGATTTATTATGAAAGTGTTTGTCGTTTCTTCCTTACTGGGTGTTGTGTAAACGCAATCTCTGGCATGTGCTTTCTGTTCCTAACTGTTGAATGATCTATGATTATATTTTAATTTAAGGTATTATTACTTTGCATAATTAATTTTAATTTATCTATGTGTTACATCCGGTGGGAGATGTGGAGTATAGTTTCTTATATTGTGGCATTTGTTGGAATTATATAAAAATCATGTAAGAAATTTATATCAATTATGTACTAAAAATAACGTTAATTACTAAAATGAATATTAATTTGTGTTATTTATAATTGGGTTATTAAATAAAAAATATAAATGGTATATGTATAATATAGCATAAGCCACATATTTATAAAATAAAAGTTTGGACTATGCTCCACGTATGTGTACGCGCCCACCACTACGGATGTACGCATGTCGTGTCTGTACAGTAGCGTCGCTGCTGTCGTGCCTGCACCAGCTGCGTACGGAGAACGTGCGCCTCGAGGAGCACGTCGGCAACCTGCTGCAGCGACGTGACCACCTGCTCGCGGTCAACGCGCGACTGGCGATACCGCTGACGGCCGGTGAGTTTTGTTGGAGCAGGAGAGCGTTTTTTTTCACTGTTGTGTTTTGTATGGCAATGGTCTTACTGTCTGTGCCTCAACCTGCTGCAGCAGCGTGATCAACCTGCTCGCGGTCAACGCGCGACTGGCAATACCGCTGACAGCCGGTGAGTTTTGTTGGAGCAGGAGAGCGTTTTTTTTACTGTTGTGTTTTGTATGGCAATGGTCTTACTGTTTGTGCCTCAACTTGCTGCAGCAGCGTGATAAACCTGCTCGCGGTCTACGCGCGATAAGCGATACCGCTGAAGGTCGGTGAGTTTTCTTGGAGCGAGAAGAATTTTTTTCACTGTTATGTTTTGAATGGCAATGGTCATACGCGTGCTGTTTGTGCCTTAACCTGCTGCAGCAGCGTGACCACCTGTTCGCGGTCAACGCGCGACTGGCGATACCGCTGAAGGTCGGTGAGTTTGGTTGGAGCGAAATGACTTTATTTTACTGTTGTGTTTTGTATAGCAATGGTCATACTCGTACTGTTTGTGCCTCAACCTACTACAGCAGCGTGACCAACTTACTCGCCGTCAACGTGCGACTGGAGATACAGCTGACAGCCGGTGAGCTTTGTCGGAGCGGGAGAGCGGTTTTTTTACTGTTGTGTTTTGTATAGCAATAGTATTACTATTTTTGCCTCAACCTGCTGCAGAAGCGTGACCAGCCTACTCGCTGTCAACGCGCGACTGGCGATACCGCTGAAGGTTGGTGAGTTTTGTTGAAACGAGAAGGCGTTTTTTTTGACGGTTGTGTTTTGTATATTGACAATGGTCGTGTTGTTTATGCCGATGGTGGTTGGTGCATTTTATTTGTAGTCTTTGTTTTTATGGCAGTAGTCGTTACTGTTTATGCTGGTAAGTTTTAGTATAGGTAATTTTTTTTGCAATGGTCGTATTGTTCGTTCCGTTGATGGCTGGTGAGTTATATTTTTTTGGTAATGGTCCTATTTACAGGTGGTTGTGAGCTGAGGTCTTCAGGTTTGGTAGTGTCGAAATCGTGGTTAATAATGGGTGTCTTGATTGTTCCCATGGCTGCTTATAACAAAGTCAATATTATGTATGATTTGACTTTTGTATTGACAATGTAATATTATATTAGAGTATATAGGAAAATTTACAGTAGAAATTTTTTGATGAAAAGTTAAAACAATGCTTTTTTTTCGAAATTTTGTGAGTATGCATGTTTGTTAAATCTTTTCGCTCTACAATTTAGAGTGAAATTCAAAATTAAAATAGCTTTGCGTGCAAAAACTACTGTTATATTTGTATTCGCAAATTACGTCAAAAAAAGACACTTTCATATCATATTCAATACAATTAAAAAATATATATAAGCAGCTCTTATATCAAAAAAATTGAAAGCTCGAAAAAACAACAATAATGTCTTTCACCATGTAAAATTGTTAGTGAACAAAATTTACTAGGGATTTATTGTATATTTCAACAGTATTAAGTTTAGTCAAGAGATTTGAGCGCATTAAGAATTATTCTAAAATTAGCGCTCTCTTTTTTATCCATCAAAGGTTAGCATAGATTAGCATGCATATGATCTCATGAGGTAAGGTAGGCCTAGCCTGTGTACGTAGGACAGAACTGCTATTAGAATTTAGCTTTTACCATCAGAGAAAAAGGAGGAGCGAAAGGGGGAAATAGAAGCGAAGGAGGAGTAGGGGGTAGTATTAGCTAACATAAATACATAGATTATAATAATAACATATAATTATTACTCGTATGTTTCTTTAATGATTTGGTTTTCAATTCTTCTCCTTTCTCGTCATATTAAATTGAGGTTTTGTTCAAATTCTTTATCTTCAGACGTAAGTATGTATGCATAACCCGTAGAACTACTTCCTCGTCACTTCATCGTTTCATCGTCGTACTATTTTGCATCTATATTTAACTTACCTATTTAAGTTTAACGTATTACCTTACGTAAATAGGTTAAGGAAAAATAAATATCTATACTTTTTGTTATAGAATAGCAGTCTCCTAATACAGGAAAAAAATACTTGTTAAAAAGTGGACCTCGAGCACAAACAATCATTATCAACACTGTAATCTATTTATGCAAATAAAATATTTTTATTTTTTGATACAATACAAACATTCCAGTGGCAGCAGGTCCCGGGGAGTCGTCTCGGTGTCCGCGCGAGAACGGCGCGCCGGTGAGAGGCCCGCCCGGCCCAGTGCGACCCAATGAGACCATCACATCTGATCGACCACATCAGGTATGGAACATTAATCACAATACAATCCATACTAATATTATAAATGTGAAAGGTGATTTTTTGTGTGATAGATAGATAGTTGGAGGGCTGGAGAGTGACATAGACTACTTTTTACCGCCGGAGATTATCTCATTCTCACGGAAAAACACGTTATAATACAATCCACAACAACTCAACATGACTTTTATATATATATATATAAAATATATATATATATTTTTTTATATATATATATATATACTTAAAATTTTCGCATTAAAACTAGAAAATAGACGTATTAGTTGTAATTACTCATGTTTTTGTATTTCTCTAGCTGATAATGCGTGAAGTGCAACAAAAGCCCAGCTGAAATGAGCAGGATGGGCGCTTGGACGAGTCGGCAGTGCGTTCCTTGCGCGCCTTCCTCATGCTCGGTCGGCGGCCGCGGTGGGACTTCTCCATCGACGCCATACTCAACTGCGACTTCTAAATCGTAGCCGTTGTTGTCTATCCGTAGCCGTTATGTTCTGGCACGGCTATGTGCTCCACGGCTATATAATGTTCTGTAGTCTGCCACGGTTACGTTTCGTAGCGGCCACAATGTTTTGTAGCGTAGCACGGCTACGTTTCGTAGCCTCGTCTATGTTTTGTTGTCGTGCATGGCTATGACGTTTTGTATTTTGTAACCTGCCACGGCTACGTTTCGTAACCTGTCACGGCTACATAATGTTCCGTAGTCTGCCACGGCTACATAAGTCGGAAGAACTGTCAAAGAACAAACGTATTAGTGCGCTTTGAACCACATCACAATTATCCCTAGAATTATTAACCCTGATGATGACGGACACCTATCACATTCATAAACAGCTGTAGATTTACATATAAAGTAAGTGATGTCGAACTGTCACTATCCCAACCAATGGTTATGCGTTATAGTACGCCATTGTCTAGTGTATTTAAAATGACTGCATAAAGATAAAGACAATATAATAATATCATCACAGCGTATCATCATTATTAGTGAACATCACACAGTTGATAGACTAACTTGGACATATTGCAACTATAGATAATTAAACTATAGATATAATACTACAGTGCTTCTAATAATGTAAAAACCGTAAGAATTATCAAATAGAATCTACTCCTTAACTACATTTGTGACGTGAATTTCAATTAACCGATTCCCTATAATATACTACAAATCAAACAGTTCTCCACATATATCTGTACATAGCATCGACTGAACTAGATCTTGGGTGTTCCATTTCTTATATTTTGTTATAGAAATGAAATACTCAATCTTTTCGCACACTATTTTGTAAATAATGTAAATATGAGATGATTTTCTATAGATTTAGAATACGTTATGATACGAACTGTAGCGAAATGTTAAATGGTTAAATCAAATATACACAAATAAAATACACATTTATATGTAGACTACATACAACAGTGCCCACTGATTGATTTCTATATATGTTGAGAATAGTTATTGTATAGAATTACCTGTAAATTCTGAGTATAATAATAAGTAAATATAAAATATACCGCTTTTTGCGTTATGGTCTTGTATTATGTAAATACAGTCGAAATCTTGGTAGTTATTACCGTGGTTTTTTAATTCCTAGCCGTTTTAAAACATTTTTTCATTATTCACCAGTTAGGGTTGCCAATTTAATACATACGACTTTTTAAATAAATTATAATAATAATTATCATTAAAATACAAAATAATAATTGTTTTGTTGTCATCGAGCGTTGGCAACCATTTTAATATATTTTCACGTAACTTCTAGTTTTATCCAAATATAGATTTTATAATAACTATAATCGGCAATGTTTAGATGAATGTCTGGTCTGTTAGCTTTTCTATAAATCTTTGGACAACACTTTTGAAATTTTGTATTTGTGTCTTCATTTTTCCGTGTATAAAGGATTTTAATGAATCATTAGGATGTTAAGTGTTATATATAAATATAAATGATAGGTGACTTACTGACAGAATGACTCTGACACCCCTAATACGAATTCATTGGGCACTGTAATGATAGAATCAAACTACTGTTGTGGTAATAATGAAAAATGTACTTTAATAATAATGTCTAGATGTCAAAGTTTAAGGTTGTAGCTGTAGAGTAATTTAAAGGTACATGTAGATTACTTTCATACAGATATTGTCTATATCTGATACTTCTTAGTTTCTTTCACATTTTAATTATTTTTATTCCAAAGAAATCGATATTGTAATTAGCACTATTAGTTAATAAGACACTGGACTAGAATTACACTCAATGTTGATATTACATTGTCACGGCTCGCACTTGACTGTTGAATTAACATAAGAAAATTGGCAAGTGGTTCTAAATGATGGAAACGGCTATCGGTGTAAGACTGATGGTTCGTCTCGTAGACTAGAGTTTTATATCTAAGACACGTGTTAAATAAATTAACTTGTATATGTGCATTGTGCATGATATGTACATATTTTGATATTTTCCTTCGAGATCAAACAAATTTGAACTCGATAGTTAACATTGAATAGGAATTTTCAGATTTTAAAGTTTTTAGCTGATATTATGAAAGAAAATCATTTGATATCGATGTTTATGATATGTTCACAATTCTTCCGCTAATAACACCTCTGCACTCGTCAAAAAATGTGCAATATTGTTAATTATATATAATCTGTACGAATGAATGAATGTGATTTCACTTAATTCTCTGGTAAATGTCACTTTAAATATTTGAAAAAGTTACTCGATGTCGTTATCAATGTTGTTATCGATGTTCAATCTGTATGAAAGAATGATTGACAAATTTCCAATTTTAAACTCAATTTTAAATGTCGAATAGATTATATAATTATAATTTATCGCATCCGATTGAATGTTACACGTTTTACCTTTAAATGGAGTGTAGATTAAAATTTTATTCCATGTTGATATCAATGTTGTAATTATTCAATTATATTTATTCACATCGATTTGCTTTATTGTACTCTAAATGTAATTTCACTCGATTGAATAATTATTCGATGTAGTAATCAATGTTATAATCGATGTTCATATAATATGATTGTTGTAACCATGTCCTTTCCATAGACCTAGAGAATGGACTGATCAACACACTCCTGGAATTGACTACTCTCTAAATAGAGAGAAAGCGGACGCGCGCCCAATACCTGTCTCTTATTCTAATTTGAATTTAAAAATGGAATGTAAAAATATATAATATTATAATTTATTAAAAGTTTTAATATTATAATAGGATGTAAAATAATGACAAAATGGTTATAAATATCTATCTTCATTAATCGTATTTCAATTAATATAGAAGGCTTCTGGCCACACCTTCGTTTTGTCTGTGCTTCTTTTTTCGCCATTTTTAACTGACGGCTGACAAAGAAAAACTCAGTCCACTCTATGTCTATTGGTCCTATCTAAAATGTATGTGTCGTAAGTCGCTATCGATTTTTAAGATACATTTAATCGATTTTTATTTGATTTGTTTTTTTTTTAAATAAGTCTAGTTAAATTTTATTAAGTTAATTTTAAATTTGTCTTTCTAAGTTAAACGACTTAGTTGAACATTTTGTAATTGTTCAAGGTTTTTTATCCGTTTTCTTTTATTTTACACAAAATTAGGCATATTTTAAGCGAAGCGGTAACCGTTTGTGGTTATCAGTTACTGTTTAAATCTCACCGAAATGTTCATTCAATGATTTCTTATTTCTACTCTAATGGAATTGTATACATAATACAGTAAATAAATAAATTGCTCAAAACTTTGCTCAAAAATAAGTGAAATAAAGAGATCGACGGTTGCCGCTTGTCTGTGTACATGTAAAATGCGTACAATGTACATTAAATGGTTTGTGTTAGAATATAAATAATAAACGGCAAATTTATTGTCAGTTATAGTTTTTACTATCGATGTGATCTCAGTCGGCTCGTGGACTAGACGCGCAGTGTAGATGTTTTTCCTTTAGTTCAAAATTATCAGTTATTAAAGACTATAGAAAAAAAAAATATCAATTAAATAAAACTTCATACACTAATTAAACTAACATATGCAAGAAATAAAATTTTATTTAAATTGAAAAAATCTGATAGTAAGCTAAATTGTTTAATAATTTAGAATAGACTTATAAGATGCATTTAAAAGTGTTATGGTATCTATACTAATATTATAAAGAGAAATAAATGTATTTTGTTTTGTAATGGATAAAGTAAAAATCCGCCGAACCGATTTAGATGAAATTAGGTATGAACATAGTTTGAGTTCCTAAGAAGGACGTTGGGGAGTTTTTATCCCGGATATTATCCCTTGAGGCCGTGGAAGTAGGTATGGGGAATCTATCATTTCTCAAGTAAGGGATATAAAACTCATCATACTTATTATACATATTATAATAGTCTATTTATTCCATACTAACTGTTAACACGTACCTAATTGCTTCAAAATATCGTTAACTGATCAACATTCTACAGTGTGCGTTTAGTCTCACTTCATACTCATATTTAACCAACTTGCTTAAATATAGACCATTTACAACAATTATTTCTCTTAAGTACCAAAACGTCAATGGTTATTCAATAATATCAAGTAATCTTTCAAATCTCAGGATAGAATAAATCTAATCTTTTTTTCTATGCCACTAACTTGAGCTTACTCGATTTTGCATCTAGTAGATCTCTTAAAAGGTAACAATGCACCTTTCGATATGATTTTAGTTTGGAAAATAAAGGTATTTTTTCTACTGACGATAAAGCTAATGAGCAATATAAATGATGATGATGATATGATTCAAATTTTTAATAAACTAAATATAGAATATATTTGCTTACACTGTCCATATAAATAACAGTATTTTTTTTAAATTTAACTCCCTACGAAGGTGTACAGATTAATCCAGCAGAGTTTCATCACAATCGGATCAATGGTTTAGGAACGCGTAGAGGACAAACATACGAACATTCATTTTTATTTATGAAGAAGAATAAGATAATAATTTGATTGAACTCTTTTAATAGCTAACAAAAAGCAGATAGCTAAACACTTACTTAACCACAAGCTCTATAGGAAAGTGATGTTAATATGTAAATTTGTTTGAAATTTTCGTTTTGATTTTATCATATTAATAATAAATAAAATTGTATGTTAATCTATATTTAAGACTGTTGGTTGTCTTTGTATATTTTAACTATTTTAACAGTTTTGTATATTTTAATTTTTAACAGTTTATTTATCTCAGTGACGTAAATTAATGTTACATCTTTGTTACATTTCAAAGTCGAATGCCTAATACTTATAATGTCTTAATATTATGTAGATATCAATACCTTGTCTTAAATAACCGTTTGT